CCCCCCCCCCCCCCCTCCCATTTTTGTATCATTTCTTTCACAGACAATAAGAACATTAATGCTTAAACAGCCCAGAAAAGACATTCGTGAAAACTTTGCACTTATTTGACCTTTAACCTCCAGGTCAAGGTCACAGCGACCGAACAACAGTGCATTGTACATCATTTGTGGGTGATGCAGATATACACCTTGGCGTACACCTTTAAATGCTTGCAAGTATGAGACTTTTTGACCTTTGACCCTGGGGTCAAGGTCACAATTACATAGTGAAAGTGCACTGCATATCGTTTATGGGTGATGTAGTTTTAGTTCTAGTTTCATCAAGATATCTTTAACAGTTGAAAAGTTACAGCCCGGACAAGATGTTACTGATTTTTTTCCACATGTTTGACCTTTGACCTTGGGGTCAAGGTCACAATGAACTAATGACAGTGCACTGCACATCATCTATGGGTGATGCTGCAGGTATACTTTAAGTTTGATCAAGATATCTTTAACAGTTTAGAAGTTATGCCTTGGACTAACTTCTATTTAAAAAAACAAGATGGCCAGCAAGCTTAAGGGCCTTAGCGATCACCTGAGTTATTTCATAGGTACTGGTAGCTTTATTTTATTGTTTAAGATGTGATGTGGGAATCAACATGTAAACTAAGTGAAATATGATACTTGTCATTCCATCAAAGGATAAGAATTTTAAAATATTGGTAAATGTTCCCTTTGGGGCCCCGCCCTAGCCCCTGGGGATGGGGCAGGAATCCCAATTTACAATGTAATACCCTCATCCACCAAAGATGATTCTGACCAAGTTTGAATAATTTTCTGCTAAAAATGGATCAAATATACCCAAAAGTGTTATTTCCCTAAATATACTATATAGTAAACTTTACCCCCTCCCCGAGGGAGAACGAATGGGTTCGGGGTACTAAAATTTACAATTTAAATAAAGCCCATTATGATCTTTCCATTCATGCAGAGAAAATGACTGTAGTACTTTTAAGTCTGGAGAAGAAGATTTTTAAATCATTTCCTAATTTTCCCTTTGAGCCCCAGGGGTTGGGGTAGGAATCCCAATTTTACAATTTTGTAGCCTCATCTACCAAGGATGATTCTGACCATGTTTGAAAAAATTCCATCCTCTGGTTCTTGAGAAGAAGACGAAAATGTCAAAAGTTTACGCATGACGGACGGAAAGTGATCAGAATAGGTCACTTGAGCAAAGCTCAGGTGACCTAAAAATAAACAAAGGGCCATAACTCTGTATATAGTGGGGTACAAAACCTGATTTCATAGTGAAAGAGATTCCGCATTTCCAAGATACATAGATATGGTAAGTCTGGTCAACGAAGGTGAAATAACATGGAACTTATGCTATGGATAAACTTCAGTATTAAAAATAAACAAAGGGCCATGACTTTTTATATATATATAATGGGGCACGAGACCTAATTCCAGTGCACTAGACTGCACACCTTCGGTGGGTGATACAGCATGTATACTTCAAGTTTGATCAGGATATCTGTCAATGTTTTAAAATTTACTGGCCGGACAAGAATTTACTGAAAATGTTGCACTTATTTGATCTTTGACCTTGAGGTAAAGGTCACAGTGACCTAATTCCAGTGCACTGCACACCTTCTGTGGTTGATGCAGACATACCTCAAGTTTCATCAATATATCTTTAACTGTTTAAAATGTATGGCCCGGACAAGTTGCGATTAGAAGAACCAGAGGAAGAACCAGTACTAATATACAATATGTCTCCCTTCATTCGAAGGGAAGATATAATTAAAGGAAACATAAAGGAAACAGCACAACTACACTTAATAAGAACCAAACAGGTATTCTTTAGCTTTTATGGTGAATAAATCTACAAATTGACAGTCATTATGATGGAAGAAGTTTGGAAAAATCTGTATTTAGTGCTGACAAACTTTTAAAGTTGATGTAACTTTTCACAGCATTGACTCATACCTGATTGGAGATAAGACATAGCTTTTAAAGTAAACCAACATACTGGCCAACTCTCCCTATTTAGGAGGGAGACTCTCGATTTTGAACCCTTAAATTTAGTATTTCAACCAGTGAATTTGCTCAACTTTTCCTATATTTCAAGATCTAATGATCATGATTTCATCTGAAAGAACAACTCAAAATGTGTCATTTAAAGGGTTATTTTGTCTCTAGGGGGTAGGTATATATACAAACATTTTATTTAGATTTTAATTTTGAGCATGCAGAATCTCCCCCATGGAAAGTTCAAGAAGTTGGCAAAAATGCCAACACGAAAGTCCATGAAGTACATGTCTGGTTGTCCATCTGCCAATTCTAAGGCAGTTTTGGGTGAATATTTGCATGAAACATGAAAGATATTGAAAATAAACCGATACATTGATGGACCCAACTTATTTTCAAAATTTCTTGATATCTTTCATTTGTCCACCACACAGCATTTAATGACATATTCTTCTGAAAGCTCATAATTGTTCATGGAATGTATTTCAATGATGTGCTAGCTATATATATAGTCCACCACAGGACAGTGTGATCACTATTAATGTAATTAACACCAGGTTATCATCGTTTGTACTGTTTTGTGGTTTATTTTGTTACAAATTTACTTCATTATAACAAAAGAATCAGTTAAAAGCCCAAATAATTAGGGTTTACTGGACATATCTATTCTACAAATGAATCGTGTGGTTGAAAGCTTAATTGCACAGCTCTTCAAGGTTTTATCATATGCATAGTATTTTCAATGTTTGTAAATTCCTGTTTGTTTATAATTACAGGGGTTTCATTTGTAGCCAGTACCGTAACCCCATGAAAAAAATCCTACTACAAATGTTTCACTGGCTGAAGGCTTTCATGAAAAAAAAAGGAGGACGGTTATCAGCAAGACTTGGACAAACTGGCGCTCTGGGAAAAAGACATGGAAGATGGCCTTCCACCTGAGCAAGTGTAATGTGTTGTCTAGATCTGTGAACAAGGGGAAAAACCCCCATGATCAATAATTATATCCTCCATGGGCATACACTAGAACACGTAGACCAAGCAAAATACCTGGGTTTTACAATTCAATCTAACTTAAAATGGGACTCCCACATAAATAATTTTACCGACAAAGCAAACTCCACACTTGGCTTCCTCTGTCGAAACTTAAAAAATAGGTTCAACATCAGTTACGGTACAGGCATACAAATCATTAGTCCGTCCATCCCTAGAGTATGCCTGTCCTGTTTGGGACCCATCATACACCCAGGATATATAACATCAATAAGATTGAAATGGTACAACGCAGGGCTGCTCGTTACGTACTATAAACAAAAACGTCTACACTCATAGAAAATCCAGTGTCTCCAATATGTTGAACCATCTTAAATGGTGATCCCTTGCCGACAGACGCAGAGACACAAGCCTATGTAGGATGTTCAAAATTGTAAACAATCAGGAAGCTATTAGTAAACACACTAGACTAATACCAGCAGCAACCAGGCAATCAAGGCATGCCCATCACCAATCCTTCCAAATACCACACTGCAGAACCCAGGTCAGAAACAATCCTTCTTTCCCCGATCAATATCTGAGTGGAATAAGATCCCACCAGATATCATATCCTCCTGTTCTACTACCGAATCTTTTAAATCTGCTCTCCTGTCAATTTACCCTCAAAATTAAACCTATATACATGTATATATCATTTTGGCTTTCTTGGATTCGACTAAATCTCTTTCTCCCTCATGACATTATCTTCAACTTGTTGAAGTTGGTCATTACCATTTAGAAGTAGAAGGTAATATGAAACTGTACTGAAATTAACCGCCTACTTTGTGTAAGATACATGCATATATGCAACTTGAAAAATTATTGAAACCCCTACTGTATAATATGGTCTTTTCCCATATATATCACACCCAGTATGAACCCTCTACCAATATCATTCTGTTTATTACATACTTACTAATAAAAGCTACTATCTTATGATCTATTTTTCTTTTGAAATAATGAAAAACAAAAAATGTCCAAAAGGGGTGTGATACGGGTTTTGCGGACCGATACAGGTTTTGGGGTGTGATACGGCGGGGGCTGATACGGCTTTTGGGGTGTGATATGGCGAGGGCTGATATGGTTAAGAGCAATTGTGTCGTATCGCATACATACAAAAAACCCGTATTTATTAGTAAGTATGTAATAAATATGGATATTTAACTCACAAGATTGCCACTGTAATTTTCTGTGTTAAGGTATAAGAAACCAACCTCTTTTTTATGTGACACACCTTGTTTCCATACCAATGTGTATGCCCAACACAAATATTTTAAAATCAAACAGTCATGTTTGTACTGGTGTCAATCATAAAAATGTGACTGCAGCCTTATATAGGTAGTTGCAAAAAGAATGTCGAGATAAAATCAATATATAACAAACAAACCGATTTCTCACAGTAAACACCGATCAAAAATAAGGACAAACGCTATTAGACATTTTGAATGAATGTAAACATTGAATATCAAGAAATTAAGCGATGCTGTAAATTTTCGCGGCTTCATTGATTCAGCACTGTCGCTGTCAGCTCGCCGATGTAAACATGACTCAGAATTCAACCGACTTTTTCAGACATATCTGGGCATTTTCGTTAGTTACACTGACATTTTTTACATATTCAACCCCAACATATGCCATGTGCATGTCACCATACATACCTTCAATGTTGAAATTCGTTATAATCACGTAAATGTTACACAGCCTATAACCGACAGTTGGTATCCACAGGCACAGATATTTGTAACTTTGCAAATCAGCAAACGCAAGGTCAAGACCTGTCCTGTTTCAGCCAATCAAATTCGCTGAAATCCGAATATCTTTCGTACCGATGCCATTAACGGTGATAGGCTATATTATCAGACTTTATTCCTCATTATAAATGTATAAAACACGTTCATATATTCTTTAATATGTTTATTTGAATGGTTTCGTTTAGTTTGATTAAACACATACTGAAAATAGGTTTATGTGATAATTGATAATTATAAAATATTGACGAGGGAGTCACGTTATGGGTTGATAACATTATTAATCCAAACGCAATCATCTTTTGAGCAAACAAGAGGCTTGCACAAATCCAAGCTTGAAGTGTATACTTTTTGAGTTCGAGGCCAGGACGTTATCACAATCACAAGGCAGTATTTATTTATGTGAATCCCTAGCATATTTTCGATTCATGCCGTAATTCGTTGCTTTTTGTGTAGAGACGAATGCATGTCTACTTCATTTTATGTCTGATTAGCAGAAAATATCAACGTGTGTAATAGACATCCTAGGTGTTCGAAGATTTGACCTAATATTCATGTGGGCTGTCTAAAAAATTGCATTGTATCACTTTCATCCCCATCTGAGTCAGAAGGTGTTGACAGTGTGTAATACCTCAACTTGTGCTCTGCAGACATCATGCTTATCAAATAAATACATCTAAAGTATATATAGAGGACTTGATATTACATAGGTAAGTTCTATGTGTAAATTTGTATAATTTATGAATTTAATAGCATTAAAGTTTATTTTAAATGGTTCTCAACAATGTAAGAACTGGTTCAATAATCAATATGAGCAACAGAATATAGATATACACAGTACACTGGATGCTATAAAAGAAATAACTATTAATTATTTTTCAAACTTTAAAAGACACTTCATAAATCCTTTTAAACCATATAGAGTTTAAACAAATTCAATACCTAAAAGAGGTTTAGAACTTATTATCATATGAAGTTTAGATACTTATGGTGAAAGAATATTTCAAAAAAGGAATTAATTAAAAGCATTAAATAACATGAAATATTCTGATGAGTACTGAAAAACATTTGCACTATACAAAAACCTAAGATGCTGAAACATCTGTATCCCAGTTGGGAAAAATCTGGATCATGTACATGTATATCAGACAACCTAACTCCATCCATATTAAGTGGTCCCTAATCAAGATTACAGATACTTTTGGTAATCCTGAGTAGATGGATATCGGAATACTATTGGGTATATAAATGCCAAGTGACAATTAAGATAGCCCTAATAGATAGATCTAGAGCATCCATGAAGAGTTAAGATTTGAATCCCACTTTCTTACTGTTAAATTAATACATTTGTCTACCAAATAGATTGAACCTTACAATCAGTTATAACAGTCATGTATGGTTCAACAGAGGCCTAGGTAAAGAAATTGTGTTTAAAAGAAGTAGTGGATATAAATTGGTATGGGTTGATCCTAGGTGATGAAATAGCTCTGTATTTTAATTTCTACTCATAAAAACCAACTTATCATACTTGATAATACAACATTCTGATAAGGAATAGGGAAACCCGGCCTAGGGACTTAACCCTTTCACCACTGTAGACCATAATAGGCTCATCCATATATCAATGCATGGTATTGTCTACTAAAGTTAAATGGGGATGAAAGACTTTTAAAGTGGTTACACAATTGTCAATGAAACACCTATATTTCTCAAATCTCTTTTATGAAATTTTTCTCTTTTTATATTGCAGCAAATAACTATGGCTTTAGCAGCACATGGTAGTGATGCATCACTGTTTTCTGATATCCGGGACCCAGGAGCTCGTGTTCGCAAGCTTTGTGATTACGCATGTCAGGTTGATGTGGACACCGCAATCCCACCAAAGCGCTACCTCAGATCTGGCCTGGAGATGATTCGAATGGCGAAAGTCTATGAGGAGGAAGGGAATATAGAAAGTGCATTTGTCCTCTACACAAAGTTTATATCGTAAGATTTAGGTTCTTGGATACAGAAATATCGAAACAACATGCAATTGAGACAAAATGTAATTGTTATTACATGATATTGAAATTATCTCAAAACTGATTATTGATTGAAAATTGATCAATTTATGGTTTTCAAATAATTTCCATTATATACTGATAAGGAGATAGTTTGTGGCTCTATCTATTGGGGTAACTCAGCCCTATCATTTCATTAAAGCATGTTTAGTACAACCTCTCCAAATGAGTGACCAAATCTGTTTCATGTAATTTTACTCTATCTTCTCTTTGAAAATCAGATAAGGCATGTCTGACTTTACTAATTTATAATAAAAAACCTGCATGTTTGAAAAATATTTCATATCTCTTTTTTTTTCTGTTAAACCAGATTGTTTGTTGAGAAACTTCCAAAACATCCAGAGTTTAAAAGTGCTCCGGCCACAGATGTATCGGCTGTCCGTCAGGTAACTTCTAAACTAACCTTGTATTATTGAAATATTTATTAAATCATTTTGGAAAACATTTTTCTTCTTTGTAAAAAAAGTCTTAAGCTTTTGTTCAGTTCCATAAATGCTCTTTGAGACAAAATTAATTGGAAGGTAGGGGGGNGGGGGGGGGGATGGTGGAAACACTGGTATCTCCTAGTCTGTCTGCCTGTGGACACATTGGTTTAATTTCAAGGCTAAAAATTCTGTTTGTTAACCAGAGGCTTAACATTTCTGGCTTATTGCATAAAAAACCCCACATATCTCCTCAATTATAAGGTTTATTTGTAAAACAGGTGATTCCTTGAGTAATATTTTTATTTTATTTTTTTGTAGAAAGTGAAATCAGCTTTTCCAGTTGCTGAGCAAATTAAGGGAAAACTAACGAAGAAATATGCAGAAATTGAACGCAGACGACAAGCAGAAGAGGTAAGTGTATTTATATAATCTCTCCACAGGACAAGTATTTAAATATTTGGATTTTAGTTTAACAAATGAAAATACTAATAATGCTTTTTCCATTCTCTCACCCTAAAAATGCAATATCTTACCATAAATACTTGAATAAAGTCTTGAAATCCCATTGTAGAGGAAAATTCAAGAAGAGTTGGAGAGACAGCAAGATAAAGTTCGCCAGGAGGAGGAGTTGAGACGTAGACAGCAGGAGGAGGAAGACAACTGCCTTCGTCTGGCATCGGAAGCAAAATGGATGCAAGAACAAGAGCATAGGCTGCGCGAACTGAAGGAGCAGGAAATGATGAAGAACATTGACTCCCAGTCCCAGATCCACGGTCCTACTGTGGCCAATAATGCTGACAGAACTGCACTCAACAACCAGAACACCAAACCAAGTGCACCACCGGGGGCACTAGGACTGGCCTTCATTCCTAACAACTTGGATGATGGTCGACCTAAGATTGAAAAGAACCTTTTGAATGACCCTACAAGGATGTCTTCCAGTGTACCAAACATACCAGATAGAGAACTGAAGAAAAACCTAGTCATAAGTGAGACAGACCAGCATGTAGGGTGAGTTATGTTCAGATTTTTTTTTTAATTGTTTAATTTTGAAAATTGGCTGAACTCACCTGTTTTGACAATACATGCAATTAGTGATGGAGTGTGCATGAAGACTCCTGGGAAGAAGTACATTGACTGACCACCACACACAAGACGTCAAATCTCATTCCCTATCACCTGAAGTACATTGACTGACCACCACACGCAAGATGTCAAATCTCATTCCCTATCACCTTAAGTACATCGACTGACCACCACACACAAGACATCAAATCTCATTCCCTATCACCTGACGTACATTGACGGACCACCACACACAAGACGTCAAATCTCATTCCCTATCCCCTGAAGTACATTGACTGACCACCACACCCAAGACATCAAATTTCATTCCCTATCACCTGAAAAACATTGACTGACCACCACACACAAGACATCAAGTCTCATTCCCTATCACCTGAAGTACATTGACGGACCACCACCCACAAGACATCAAATCTCATTCCCTATCACCTGAAGTTCATTGACTGACCACCACACACAAGACGTCAAATCTCATTCCCTATCACCTGAAGTTCATTGACTGACCACCACACACAAGACATCAAATTTCATTCCCTATCACCTGAAGTACATTGACTGACCACCACACACAAGACATCAAGTCTCATTCCCTATCACCTGAAGTACATTGACGGACCACCACACACAAGACATCAAATCTCATTCCCTATCACCTGAAGTTCATTGACTGACCACCACACACAAGACATCAAATCTCATTCCCTATCACCTGTGTTGGTTTATAATTACAAATGCTGTATTGCTGCTCATATTTTGGCAATAGTTTAATTTTAAGCAATTGTATTTATATCTACCAATGATTGTAAATAGGAATGAAAAAAAAACAACGTTTGACATTCTTATTCTACAAATTGAACTACACATGATATCTGGATCAGGGTTGATTACAAGAGATTTATAGAATGAGATTAATTGGTGTCATCTGTTGAATAACTGAAAGAAAACTGGTTTTAGTTAAAATGTACCAGGCTGTTACCTTGCTCATTGACTATTGGTGCTGATCAGGATGAGATGGCAAGATTTGTGTTGTTAGTGAGTGTAGATCTTAGATATACAAATACCAGATATGTACATGTTAGCTTTGGCTTGATCTAGTGGTTAAGATTCTGATTGACAGGAAACACTCTTTGCATAGAATAAACAGTCTTTATTTTGAATTCAACAGCATATATATGCAACGTTTTCCTATTGTTATTATATCTTACTTTCAATCATGTTTGGATGAATATATGTAAAATGATCATTCGGGTGAACTTGTTTGTTTACATTTCAGACCTCCTGGCGTTGACAGGACGAGTAAGCCAGCTTTCGACCACTTCACCAGTATAGGGGTGCCTGGCCTCAATAAGGGAGGTCTGAGGGACGTCTTTATCCCGTCAGACCTTGTCAGGAAGTTCCTGGGTGTGGCTGAACACAACACAATGAAAAACATAGAAACATGTGGAATATTAGCAGGAAAATTAGTAAGAGAATCAGTCAAAATGATTGTCATACTTTGACCAAGTTGTTTGAATACTGCAATTTTCTTTTGATGTTATGGGTATGTAATGTCTGGTTTCAAAGACAAATGGTGTAATTTAAAAATAGTTCTTATACTTTTTGTGCCAAAAATGAGTCAAGAATGACTATTTTTCCAGATTTATGAAGAAGATAATGTTACAAGAATTGGATTCTTTTGATAAAATATATATCAGGTTTTTTTGGAGTCCAAATTAAAAATGGTTCACTATAAGCATAATTTATTCATTGATAGACAGATAGACAAGGTCATAAGGTTGACATAAATACATCACATGTGTAATGTTTAATGATATTCACAACACAATCGGAATGCAAATATTAATTCATATTTTAGAAAAAACAATATTTGTTTTATCATTTAATCAAATGATTGTTCATTGTAAGAGTTTCTTGATGCAGTAAGAAAGTTTATGAATATGGATTCTGTTCAACTTTACAGTCCAAGAGTGCATTCTACATATCACATGTGCTGATCCCTAAGCAGGCGGGGACGTCTGACTCCTGTGTGGCTGAGGAAGAGGAAGATATTCTGATGTACCAGGACCCTCGTGACCTCATCACCCTGGGCTGGATTCATGTCAGTAATAGAGAAAAAAACTGGTCACAAGACCAGGGCAAATCATGAATGAAGGTTACCTCAAAAGACCAAGAATACAGGTTAAACGGCCAGGGGTAAATCTGTATAGAGGAATACCTGGTCATAAGACCAGGGGAAATCATGTGTAAAGAATACCCAGTCGTGAGACCAGGGGAAACGCTGTGTAGAGAAATAAAAGGTCAAACGACCTGGGGTAAATCTTGTATAGAGAAAATCCTGGTCACAAGACCAAGGGACACCCTGAATAAAGAATACTCAGCCATAAGGCCTAGGGCGTCCTGCATGAGAAATAACTGGTCTAACAGCCCAGCAGTAAATCTTTTGTAGAGAAAAACCCTATTATAGGACACGGGGAAACCCTATATAGAGAAAAACTCTATTAAAGGACACAGGAAAACCCTATTATAGGACACGGGAAAACCCTATATAGAGAAAAGCCTGATCACAAGGCCTGGAGAATACCTGTAAAGAGAATAACTGTTTAGAGGACCTGGGGAAATCATATACTTATAAAAATCTGTAATGTTTCTCGGCATAAAAAGGCTATTATATGAATTTGATGTTGGAGAGCTTTCTATCAATTAAGACCATAGGGACCCAGGAATTAAGAGACATACATGTGTGTATTTAAGACCTTTTGTGCAAGACTAGGTTGTTCCATATCTTTAAGTTTTATATTTGGGAATTTCAAAAAGAAACTGCTTTCATACTTTGTAGGGAAAGCAACATATCAATCGAATTAGTCAAGTGTACTAGAACTCTATACAATAGATGCATATTTATCTGATCAAATATTTGTAAATGAAATTAAAAGAATGAAGAAATTATTAAAAAAATACATCTTTTTGCCTATAAAGCATTGATGCATCAGATGTAGAACCTGGAACTTTAAGTTTGATTATAAAATGTTGATGTGGTAATGTCTGATTTTCGTTGCAGACTCATCCGTCACAGACAGCCTTTCTGTCTAGTGTGGATATGCACAACCAGTATGGTTACCAAGCCATGCTGCCCGAGGCCATAGCCATCGTTTGTGCACCCAAGTATAATGAGTATGTTTATTAGCTGAAAAGATTTTCACCTGCAATATGAAAATAAAAAATAAAAATACTTACATATGAAATACTTTATTGAATCATTTCGTCAACTTTTTGTCAGCTTATTTAGAACAGGGTTATTTTTGTGACAACTTGTGAGTTTAACAGGAATTAACTACCATTATAATAATGATAGTATCATGATAGAAATAATCATCATGCAGCATGTTGATTTTTTTCCTGCTTGTTTACTTCTGTTGAGAAAGAAATTTAAAAAATAATAACTGTGAATGCTGGTAAAAAGGAACTTTTTTCGTTGTAATTCTAGAAGATAAACAGTAAATATAATGTACTGATTTTTTTCTGCTCTGAAATCAACTTGCAAATGTGTAAATGAGTGTTTGATGCGAATACAGCAAATGATCCTTAACCCTTTCACCACTGTAATGGACTCATCCACATCAATGCATGGGAGAGTCTACTACAGTTACATAGGGGTGAAAGGGTTAAACAGGAAAATTGTGTATTGTTGTTAAAAGACTGATCCGTATGATTTGAGGTGTAATACTTGTTCTACAGGACTGGGATATTTACCCTGACCCAGGAGAGAGGGATGCCCGACATTGGTAGTTGTAGGGAGCGTGGATTCCATGATCATAAAAAAACGCCTCCTTTATTTGAGGTAAGTGACATTCCAGATCTTACCACTTAGTCCCAGTTTTTCGAAGCCACCGAATCATCATCTGAACCAGATGACAATGCAGATCTATCAAGTATTGAAATAAAAAAAATAAAACTGCTGAAAAAACTACATGTATAGGAATTTTCAAAATTATCATCTGAAGAAAAGAAATTCATAAACGTTTGTTAAAATTTTCTGGTATTTCTCAAAAACTGTTTTGAAAATTCGCGTAAATGACTTGTAACTACAGCTGATCAGGTCTCAAACTTGAATTTGACAAGTCAGATTGTCCACCTTATTGCTTTCCTTACAAAACTTGGAACATGACCAAAGTAAACTGGACAACAACTGGGATTATTTTTAAATTTAGAACTTCCTAAAAAGGCCTGCAACCTGTTATTATTTTTGTAGATATACAAGTAATCACTTGAATTGAACAGGATTTTTTTTCAAGATATGTGTGCAATAGAAAAGTGGTGAGATTCGAGCTCTCTACCTTAAGTCCAGGTTGCTTCATGATCCCGCGGCCTGGACTCATTTTCAAGGGGACGGCTTGGTTGAAATTGGTTAAAAACAGATACTATAAATAAGTGGTGTCAAGAGTGGTCAAGTGTTATGTTTCAGACAAGAAAAGCGAGTGAAACAGGTTTTATGTTACACAGATACAGTTTATATAATAAATAGTTTTCATCTTCTCACTGAGATGAGGAAAACTAATTATTATATAAACTGTATCTGTGTATGAGACTCGGCTCTATTGTTTTAACAAGTTTGTAAACAATTTGTTCTTTTCTTTTCCAGACTTGTTGTAATGTGAAGATGCTGGATGAGATGAGAGTAGAAATGGCAGATTTGAGAAAATGAGAGTGCTGAAAATCACAAAAATTAATTAACATCGACAGGGATCCATGTACCCTGTAAGAGGAGACCCGCCATGCCTGTTAGTGCTGAGTGTATGATCTGACTAGTTGTAGGACATTTCTAGGTCTCGATACATTTCTCTGGGACCTATTTAAGCAAACCCTGTGTAATATGGAAACCTGTTTAAGCCAGTCCTTCAGCTAGATTCTACATTGTTCATTTCTATATAAATCACCTGTGCAATCTGAATACTTGTCCATTCCAAATTGAATACTCTAAAAGGGGAATTTTTTGCATGTGGTAATGTTGGCATTGACCTCCTTAAAACTGATCATGATGTGGAAAATTTCGCATTAGCATCAGTCCTGAAATTTATATTTTATTTTTTACCTATAATCTTCATATCTATAAATGAATATTCACATGTGGAAATTTACACATTGCAAAAATTTCCTCTTTTACAGTAATACAATTTCTTTCCATGCTCTGCTGTTGATGACATGATGTAACCTGGCTTATTTCTATGGCATCACACTATTTTATATAGGAGACTGTGTATCTTGTTTAACCCTAGGTTGTTGACAGAAATTCTGATCTGGTCTTTGCTTCTTTAAACAAGTCTCACTCTATATATGCACAGAGGAATTTTTTGCTGCACAATATGACATTGATTTGAATGAAAAGGTCTTATTTTTATTGCTCTGGCAGGCCACTTTTAGATTTGAATCGTTTTATATGTAAATTTGACAGAAACTGTAGAAGACTTGACTATGACTAGGGCTGAAATGTGTTATGTTTGTTGTGCTGTATTACGGAGATAAGAGTTATGTCTATTTTTATTTGGCCTCATAGTATTACTGGTATCTCTTTCAGCTTCAACTCTTGTTCAAAACTTTTACCTGAAAAGAATACCAAACATTTATTGACAAGCTTTGTTTTGCCTAGTTAATTCTGTTGTGTTAAAAAAAAAAGTTTTTTTTGTCTTGAAATATTTTTATTAGTTCTGGTATATCTACATCCTGGATATATTTATATGGCCTTTGCCTTGTACTATGGAAGGTGTAAAGCAATGACTGGGTTAAAACACAGGGAAATACAACTGATCAGAATGGAAACAAGTGTAAACGTTCTAACCTTTTTGACAATTATATTGTGTAGTGTTTGTTGTTTGAAGGTAATGAAATTACAATTTTCGTGTTGTTTGTAAATATATTTATATCTAATGTTTAACCTGTACAATAACTTTCAATTAAATCAACCATTATTATCTGAGGTTAGCTCATCTCTGTTGTGGTACAGATTTTGTGGATGGGTGCCACAAAGGGATAAACGTGGCAGTAGATTGACTTCTAAAACCTCCAACCCGCACAACCCTGATCATCTTAACTCACACCACAGGTAAAATACAAATAGTGTATTTATCCTGCAATTAAGCCAGGGGGCGAAATACATAAAGTTTGACTGAAAGTGTAGAGCAGACCTATTGCAGGACAATGAAATAGTTTGTTAGTCTCTTTAGTTAACTTCCATTGATATGGGTGGGCTTATTTCCAGGCATGGGCTTATTGCTTGGTAATCTGTAAAAGGGAGGAACAGCCTGTACAATTGTCATCTGGAACCTGAAGTCTTATATAATTACCTTCACATACACATATTGGATAATATTATGGTTAAACGGACATGTTAACTGTTTGGGTGATGTTATTTAAAATTATACACCTGTAATCATTATGGTCACCAAGTGAAAATGGCAGGTCATTCTGAAAGGTTTGATACTAGCTATTAAGAATTCATTTTCTTCCATGACCATTATATAATAGGGTGCCTCACTCCTGATATAGTAGATAAACCTGCTTGGAGTGGTAAAGATTTTTAGTTACCCGCTAGAGGATGACACTCTGGGTGTCCTTTCATTGGTCAATCATTTAACTATGACACCACGTAACAATGCTTCGTGATGTCATCTTCCATCATAGAATCGTGATTCATGGCAATTGGTTCCCCCATTGGAAACTGACAAATGTTTTTTCTAAGGGAAACATGTTGTTTCAATGTAAAATATGAACAGGTCCCAAAACTCTCGATCGGTTATTATGTTTATCAAACTCTCATTAGGTAAATTTCAGCTTATAAAAGAAACTAGGTAAATCTAGTGTCTTTATACAAGTTGAAAATTGACTAACTTGAGTTAGATAAACATGATAACCAACCACCACTCGTTTGGGAACGTTTATGAACATGTATTAAGATTTTCAATGTACTATGTCCGGTGATAGTATCAAAAGGTTGACAAGTTATTAAAGTAAGGAAAAGTGTATATTTTGCTGCACTGAATATATATGTTCTCTATTTGTTTTACTAGTCAGCTATCTTTTGTTGTGATGCCATTGAATGTAAATCATGAAATATTTGTTGGGGAAGATTAAACATTTTTTTATGACATATTATGTTAACCATACCCACAATACATTGCTGGCATTTCTTTTGAAGATTTATGGGTGTTTTTATCATGATCATGTCATATTACATGTACCAGTATACTAAAGTAAAGAACTTTGATTCTCTGCTTATCATTGTGTTTTACCATACCATGGGATGCCATTTGAATGATGGTCAAAATAAAACCCTTTCATTAATAATCAAAACATGAATTTCTAGGAAAGGCCTTGTTAAAACTTCTGTATTGTGTGTGTTTTCATTGTACATACTAATTGTACAAGTCATATTCATGTATGTTGGCTCACCTAGTCTGAAGGAATTTTGAGCCGTTTGAAAATGTGAATTTTTCAACTGGCCAGCCCTATCATTCATAGCCTAGACCAATTGCTATATTTTTAAGATGTGATGTTATCAACTTGTGATCAACTTTCATTTGGAATTCATACAATATCATTATTCAAAAGAAAGTTTGACCTTAGAACCATGACCCTAAAACATTGAAGAATAGGTGAGCGAGACAGGCTTCTTGGGCCTCTTTTTGATAATACAAAGTTTTAACATCATCTTAATCAGTTAAAGAGCAGTCTTACAGGAAGTGGAATATGATTGTATGCATACTAGTGAGTTATTTAAGTCTGTGTAGGTGTAACAGATTTTCCTTCAAGTTCTTTCGGGGATACTTTGCCATAAAAGAGGCGCCGCAGTGGCCAAGTGGCATCTGACATTCTGCTTCCACTAGCCCTCCACTGCTAGGTCGCGGGTTTGAGACCTACGTGGGGCAGTCGCCAGGTACTGGCTTTCCTCCATCACCAAAACCTGCCACGTCCTTAAATGACCATAGCTGTTAATAGGATGTAAAAACACAAACAACCCAAACCTTAAAAAATGGGTATATGTATCTTCTACATGTACACTTACTACATGTAAAAGGTCTATTAGCAATAACAGGGTAAAAGCATTTCTGCTGCTTTAACTGTGAAGAGTTCTTTTTCACAGAACTTGAAGATTGACCTATATACTGCCCATTTCTTGATTATGCAGGCAAAGAAAAGTTATATAGCAAGTATTTGGTTATTTTGACTCCCTTGTAGATTTAGTAGTAAATTGTATCCCAAAAAAATATTATTATTAAAACCAGATATCTGGGTTTTTTGTGGTTAGTCACTTTTCAATTTGTTTTATGCTGCTGTAGAGGAAATAATCCATATTGGGCATTGCATTGTATTAAGGGTATTAGAAATATATGTAAAATGTACAATCTATTTGAGGTATACTGTACACAGGATTTAGTAAAATGTATTCGTAATAAGATGAAAAGAAATATAACAAAACCTTTTTACCTCAGCACTATTAGAAACTTGCTTTAGAAAGTACGGACATTTTAATCTAGACCTATTTATAGTTACCCCATTATTTCATGAAAGTTGTGTGTAATATGTCATTGCTAATTATGCATTGCTTCTTCTGTGATATAAAAGTGTTGAAATGTGTCATTGTAAATGGATTTATGTTACAGAAATTATCAATACCGTCGTGTTGGTGTTCCGACAGGATCGCCTTTACTTGTAGACTCGGACACAAATGTGCACCGACACATGTATTCTTAGAACTTGTAGGACTTGAGACATTTTATTTTAGGAAATATTCTTGTAAACTTTAAGAAAGTAATGAGGAATGCCAAATCGGAAACAAAAAATCATTACCAGGTAATAAAAGAGTTATTAAAATGTGATTTAATAAAGAAGTAAAAGAAAAAATGTGTTTTGGTTATTACTCCTAAACTGTCCACCTTTCATTGGGGCTGTGTAAACACATTCTTCTGTAGTTGTCAATTAGCCGATTTACTCGTTTCCTTGCGAGTTACTTGACATGAACACTACTCAAACTTCATTCCATTTCTCATAGTTACATATTCTCTGTATATCTATGTTTGATGCAATACTTGATGCTAAATATATTAGTTTCAGGTAGTATCATGTGAATGTGTTTGAACACAAAACAGCAATTGAAGGTTTATTTTGAGAGCTTTCAAAAACATGTTTCCTTTGTCAAGTAAAGACTGCAAATGAACAGCATATTGACTTGAATATGACTCACCAAGTCTAAAAGTGGAAAGTCAGTCAAGTCAGCTGTCAGAATAATGTCTAGACATTTTGTCTAAATAACACTAACACTGCAGGAAGTCGGAGGAGTGGGTAATAATGATTATGTTTAATAATTCAGTACCTTATAGTACTGTATAAGGTTGGTTAGGGAGCCACGTACAGCCCTCGCCAATCTCTTCCTTTGGTAGTTTAATTTGAGCTAGGCAATTACAGGCAGCCTCAAACTGTATTTGATACGTGTGGGTCATTTAAGCTTGCAAGTTCATGTAGATTGGAGTAAAATAAAGAATGGACAGAGAAAATATAAACCTTTGATAATGTTTATTGACGATAGGTTTACATTAATACAGTATTATCGGCATATATACACATTTTCACGAGTACCTGCAGTGTGATTTGTGACGTAGCTGGGACATCTCCCAGTAGTGTTTGTTTAGTACACTGAAGTGATGATCACACACCGACATCTACAGGAGTAAATAACAGGCATTGAGGATCCATCATATATAGCACTTTAACTAGGATTAACAACATCTCGGCCACCGCAGATTAGTTCTGCTACGTTTCTGTGAAACGTCTTCTGTTTCAATATTAATCAAGTATCTAGCTAAGCTGTAACAAGTCCAAAAGGTAAATTTGTCCAAAAGCAACATCAACAGCCTTCTGAGAATGTACTTCTTAAACAGAATAAATAATTGGGCATTTCTCCCGAAATTATAATAGTATGTACAAATTCATTTAAAAAAAAGGGAATATTTTTACAATTTTCTTTCTACAATAGTTTGAAATTACTATACATAATGGTATTGAAATACACCAGCAGAGATAAATTATGAGCATATGGTGCCTGTCAAGTGTTATACACTTAAATCACACAAGGGTTCTAGCAGAACCTACACTACTTGGCTACGGGAGGTAAAGACATGTGCATCGGCCAAAGATCATTACCACACCCACTGTAAACTGCAGAATTAGTCGGGAACTGAATGCAACATCCTTCTTGGTATTATGTATATCGTATCTGTATTCTGGTCACCTCCAAACATGGTAGATATGAAAATCCAAAGCCTTTAAAACAAGGAATTTTTTGTGCCCGTTAGCAAGGAATTGTCTTATGGACTTGTAACAAAATGTATTTACTTACAGTGCAAACTACTGAAAACATTTATTTTGCAGCGTTCAAATTTTTCACGTTAACATTTTTCCGCAAAAAATCCAACCTGCAAAATTAATAACAAGATCCAAGCAATGTTTTAGCAATAATTTCTGAGATCTACTGGGTTTGTTTTAAACATGATTTACAGCAAATCTTTCATAAATTCAACAACATTTGTGTTAGTTAATGTGACCAAACAGATAGTAGTGTATACTATTATGAAACTTTACTATACCTGTAGTGATCCCTACAGGTAACTTAATATAAGTGAGAAGTTCAGTATAATACACTTAATATCCAGTCTTTGTCGGAGGGTGATACTGCCAATTAAAATTGTAATTGGATTAGTCAATATATATTTACGATTTATGAAAAAATAAAGCAAATATTTGACAAGCGATTGTTAAGAAAATAACATTTATAACATACATCATTCTTAATCAAACTGTATAGATTAAATGCTGGATAAGTGAATTCTAAAAAAAAAAAAAAAAAAATGAACACAATAATTGAATTTTGTATTTACAATATCTTGAATTAAACAGCTGAGAGCACTTTAATAAAGCCAATCACAACCTGGTACTGGAAAATACCATAAACATTATAAATTCAACAGCTTCAGTATACCTAGAGGCTGCTACCTTACAGTTTATAACAGAGATTTTCTTATACAATCATAATGATCATTCTTTCTATCGTCATTATGCTTTTGATATGAGAATCTTTCAGGCAGTGTTTACCTGACATCTTATATTGAAAAATACATACCTTGCCGTTGTGACAATGTACATTTCTATAAACTGCAAATTATTATGAAGCTAAAAAATGTACAGAATTATCATGGAAATGATTAGCAATCTGTTTTTTAAATTTAGTTCAATGGCAGATTCCAAATTTACAGATTAAAAAAGTAACAAAAACAATAATATGTTAAATGGCTTGATTTAGTAATAAACTCATCATCAAATAGAAAGCATCATTATGTCTTATTTTTGCTTTTATCAAAAGAAAATTACTCGAAGACTACAATAGGTTTCAAATATCACAGAGTTGACGAATGACTATTACTGGTCCAATTCTCTGGTGTTTTCTACATATCAGGTATACAAAATGTGTAATACCAAATGTGAAAAAAATAAAAATAATCAACATTTCTCCGAACCTGTTGTTGAATCATTCCATATATCTCCAATAACTGGCATTGACATTAATACAAAGCAAGTATCCAACAAATTACCTCAGGTAATATTTTCATTCTCAAAATATTAAACATGCACTTTTGTGGCATGGTCACAATACTGAATGTCAAAGTGACATGAAAATCAAAGAAACAATCTATTAACAAAGTCGAGGAAAGCCCAAAACTTTTTGCCATTTTGTACATGTGTAAGACAACACATCAATTACATGTTATAAAAGGGAAACGTGAGTTCTACATTATATGATGTAGACCAGCTCACAATACTTGGTATGCAGTGACCTGTAGGAGTAAAAAGTAGTTAAGTACAGGTGTACTGACAGAGTACCATAGGTTTAAATGTGTAAATTATTTGTGTTTACCTTAGAAATTTTCGCTCGATTAAAATATCTATCATTATTACTAAGAAAGTTTTGCCAAAATTGTTAATTGAGATTGGAAAAAAAATCGGATGCAAAACTTAATATCTGTGCATTTTGTTTCTGTAACAGACATACAATCTATATCATTCACATTTAAACATTTGCTTGGTGTACTAAATGAGGTGCCAATGCTTTTTGATTGCAAACAGCAAAATTAAATACACCACAAATAATTAACTAAACAGTACCAGGGGAGGTAACCCAACAGTCTCCCATGGTATAGGGATTCTGAATAATGGTAAATAAATAAGCAACATGATAATTTAGTAACGAGAACAATAATCATGATCTATTTGCTTGCCAAAACTGTGAAAACATTGCTAAAATCAAAGACTACCGGAGTACTTGGGTGGGGGGTATATTTGCGACAAAATACAGAATACAGAATGCTTGATGCCATAAACTGTTAGCTTCTTGATCAACAATAGCGTCGTGTATTATTCACGGAACAATTACATTTACTCGAAAATCATACAAAATGCTAACACTGCCATACTTAAACGGGTAAATATTGTTTTGGAAATGTGTTACCTGCATAACACTTTCCAAACCAAAGCTTACAATTTTAGGCTTGTGCGTTAAAAATAACGGGCATGATAAATAGGTTACCTTACACTGATACAGAATACATAACTTAACACAAACTTGATAAATCATTTATGGTACTTACTGCATTGCAGCCTTTTATCCATCAGTAATATAGTATACTTGAAACATAACAATGGCACCAACACTGCTTGATTGCTGTACTTGTATACCGTTTTTTTCGTATTGCTAAGAGTTATCTGCTCTTGTGAGCAGGGATTGATTGTTTCGTCATTTGTTTGTGAGAGGAGCGTCATCAATTTTTGAGAAAACAACCTAATTTTCTCACACAAACCAATGACGTAACAATCAATACCTGCTCACAAGAGAAGATAACTCTGCTATACGCAAAGACGGAATACCTGGTGGTTCTTCAATTGCAGGCCATTTTTTTAGATGGCTGCAAGAACTTTCATACATGAATGCATGACCTTTAGTTACCAATTACAGGGCTGAGTACATGGTTTTAGTAGACAGACCTTCAGGACCTAGCGTGCATGACAAGACTTATTACTCAAGATACAAGCCTAAGACCTCTGATGCATGGCAGGACCCATTACTGCAGTTTATGTACTTTTGTATATGTACATGAATGCATGGCTATGTAAATTCATCGATCATGACTGCAGGTCCTTGATCGCATGACTGCAGTAAATCTGTAATACTTGAATGCGGTATCTTCTATCTGGGCAATATAATACAATTAATCTTCAGTTGATCTAGTTCAAACTTACTACGAATTCTACTGGGTAATAATATCACATATAATAGAGATTTATCTAGGCACTCTGAGCTGATCAACACGACACTCTCCTCATCCTATTAAAGACAAACACTCCCATCCCTCTCACCCTAAACCATTGATAACAGGCGAGGATGACTTCTAATACATTGCAAAAAGTATATTTTGCATCACACAACTGAAATACACTAGGGCTATTTTAAATAATATTGATGATGCTTGATTTATGAGATAAATAAAAACAATCTTTCTACACAAAAGTTGATGTGTAATATAATCCAAAAAAAGATATGAAATAAACAACCAACAGACAATCCTATTACACGAACACGATATTGCATGCTTGTTAGAAATAACGCAGCACTAGATGTCCGATAACAAGAACCTAGAATCTCCCAGCCCACACTCACAGACGAAACACCGGTAGACAAACCAGAACAAGGACATGTCAACTAGACACAGGCATACCCCAAATCCCCATCTCCTCTCCTTCCACACCCCTCCCTCCCATCATCTCGCTTCTACTTACACCATACCACTTTCTTGCCACACTCCATGCCCCTCCCTCCTAGGCCTAGTCTTGTCTACATACGGAAATCATAAAACATCCTTGGTTTAGTGAACACTTTTCATTTAAGTGGTCTTACATATTTTGATATTTTGAACTTTAATATTTATATTTGGCATTTTTACAGAAGGAGAATAATCTGCACACCGATTCATCCGAAACAAGTTAAATGGTTCTCCCACACCATCAGTTCAGGGGCTTTTTCAAATCCATATTCTAATTAATATCAAAACATAAAGAATCACTCCATTTTGAAATGATGACATCGTTAATGATCTCGCTTTATACAGGAATTCCAGGGAGTTTTTTTTACCATAGATATTTTACATACGTTCTCTTCCACACAGATATAGTCCTAACTACAGAGCAAACAACGGGTTCTCATCCTCGTCTTTCTGTTTTAGTTGGCGATTGCGGTTTGCCGAGCGTGGCTGTTGACCAGTTTGTGCAGATATGCTGGGGAGGGTATCGGCTGCAGCAGCTCGCTCTGCCAAAAACTCGTCAAATTCTGAAACAATTCAAGTTTCGATAAAACTGCAATGTTATTTCATAAAACAGATCTAAAATACATCCACTGTAATGAATGAATTCAGTGTCATTTGTTGCTACGGTAACCTGACGTCATTATTCCATTCACAATGCGTTTTTGTCAGTCTACAACGTTTTCACTCAGAATTTCGGGAAGCAATTGAACAGTTACCAAAGTCTATATTGAGATCCTTTTTTTTCACAGAAACTTTATCTGTATATAAGTTCTTTTAAATGTCTGAGACAACAGATCTCTCAAAACAAAGAAAGGCAAAGATAGATGGAGTAGTGATGGCATGTATTAAAAGCAATACCTCATACAGTCAAGCCTTATTTATCTGGGGTAGCAGAACACAATTGTTTATAGCACAGATGTACACATTCCCACAATGAACCTAAGCTACATTGGTATTTATTGCTTACAAAAAACAACTTGTATGATGTAGTTTTCTGAATAAAAGATAGGATTTCTTTCCATACATTTGTCAATTTGATCTGAACAACTGAAACAACGTTACACTGTGATGCCGTGGCGCTCTCAGAAGTTTCACACATTGCGAAACCCAATGGAGGGAGATCTCCCACCATAGGCACCTAAGAGGTAATTGGTATCCCTGACCACACAAGCCATTTATGTTTTGTTTCTATAATGAGTACATGCAAAGTCACTATTACACATTTTTTACGATAGTAGCCACAACTATCTTCAGAAATTGAGTTTCACAGCTGGTTGAAATGCAACTTTTACAGTGTTACATATTTCAAGGACAAATAAAACCTTTAATTTACAGTCATTCCAAGTCAAAATGCTTTATATCCTTTATCTATCAATTATTAATTTGATCCTCGTGTTAAGTTCAATAAACTTACAACAGTGACTCCATTATTTATGATACCACAGTATTATCATCCCCTCGCAACGAAAGTTTGAGGGGATAACAGATTCAGCCCGTAGGTATGATGGAGATTTGTTACTCTTTGTCATCGCTCTAGCAAGTTCTACATTGAAGGTCAAAGTCACTGTTACTATTTTTAGAAATGTGACAGGATTTGTATCACTTGAGATGCCTTGTTCTTACCTGAACTAGTGATGGATTCTTGAGGCTTGCCTCTTGCGTTTTCTAACTGTAAATGCAAAATTTAAATTTAAACAATCTGATTTGATGAATCTGTTTAATATAAAACCATGCTAAAATTAACATGCTAAAATCATTCCTTCTTAACCGATAACACAAAACTCAAACGGAGAATCCCCAAAAATGTAGACTTGAGATCCAAATGAACATTGAAAACTTAATCTTTACCAAAACGTGCTTAAAAACCTGGATTTCAAATATGCAAAAAGGGCTGGACAACTGGACATTTTCATGCAGCCATTTGGTTTGTGTATGAAACTTGCCTTCTCTAGAACAGTCTGTGTACTATCAGTATTTGTTTACTTGTGTGTAAGAATCTAGTGCTCTACCACATCCTCTTGACTATCAATATTTGCCATGTTCCAACTTACATCTTTCTTCTGTTCATCAGTCAACCATTGTTCCATTTCATCATAATCATTTTCCCGATCTTGCAACTACAAAACAATCACCATGGAAACTTCAAATTCTCTTTCTTCAAATCAAACTTTCATGAAACATGAGACCTCTATGTAGTTTTCAGTAATGTACATAACATGAGACCTCTATGTCGTTTTCAGTAATTTACATAACATGAAACCTCTATGTAGTTTTCAGTAACTTACATAACATGAGACCTCTATGTAGTTTTCAGTAATTTACATAACATGAGACGTCTATGTAGTTTTCAGTAGTGTACATAACATGAGACCTCTATGTAGTTTTCAGTAATTTACATAACATGAGAATCATAGTTGAATCATCATCATGTAGAGATGTGGTATGTGATATTGCTCGGTGTTACAATTTTTAGAAACATCAGTGAGGTCAACATTCGCTTTATGACATCGTACTTGCCGACTTTTTAAAATTTTCCATGGGGGAGATTACGGGTGCTCAGAATTAAATACATGAATAAAAAGTGTTTATGTACACTCTGGAGGAAAAATGACACTTTTAAATGACATCATTTGAACAATTTTTTCAGGTGAAATCATCAGATCTTAGAAATGTAATGTTGCAATGCTCCCTGCCAAATGTATGTTACTTTTCTCTAGATGATTTACTTATGCTTTTTCTAGTGACCTAAAACATGTATCTAATATAACAATTCCTGTATTTCTTGGAATATATGTTATATGGGCCTGAAAAGAGATAGTGACTGAGAGGAATCGCCTAGTTCCATAAATCAACATATACACCTCAACAAAAATCTGTAATTGATAATTATTTACAAAACATGAGACCGAATAAGCTCTCTAAAATGTTGATTAAATTGTCTCTTCTAAACATTATAAAAGTAATGTATTTTGAGAACATTACAGTAATTTAATATGATTTACAAAATTTTACATCTTAATTAACCCTTTCATCCCTATGTAACTTAAGTAGACTCTTCCATGTTTTGATATGGATGAGTCCATTAAGGTCTACAGTGGTAAAAGGGTTAATTAATTTACAAACAAATATACTGCAGATGAATGATTTGACATATAAGATATGTGAATGACTATCTAGTCTAATGAAGACATATTACCACACCCCTACTAAGGAATGTGCTGTCAGCATTAATAGCCTGGTCTAGTGCAACCCATAACCAAGTAAGCATCTAAGAGTATGCAAAGCAAAGAACATGTAGAACCGAAGCATAATGTATGTTTTTCATGTTCATGTTATTTATGTTAAGATTCAGAATGTATCATTCTACTTAATTAACAGTTATGCAACTGTCACACAAAAAGCTCTCCAATCTACCAAAATCTGAAACAAGCTTTTTAATTGCAGGGAGGGGTTTTAATGTGTACAGCTAAGAACACAGTAATAAAGAATCTAAACTTTAATGGACACAGTAATTGTGAATCCAAACTTTAATGGACACAGTAATTGGACATCTAAACTTAAATTGCCACAGTAATTGAGCATCTAAACTTTAATGGACACAGTAACTGTGAATCTAAACTTTATTGGACACAGTAATAGGGATTCCAAACTTTAATGGACACAGTAATTGGACATCTAAACTTTAATGGACACAGTAATTGGGCATCTAAACTTTAATGGACACAGTAATTTGGCATCTAAACCTTAATGGACACAGTAATGGGGAATCCAAACTTTAACGGACACAGTAATAGGGAATCCAAACTTTAATGGACACAGTAATGGGGCATCTAAACTTTAATGGACACAATAATGGGGAATCTTACTAGTAATGGACACAGTAATGGGGAATCTAAACTTTAATGGCTAGGTTAAAGATTCTTAAAGATTTGAGTGATCATACTTCTATTCCTTTGACAAATCACTATGTATACAAATTTAGATAAAAACTGCTTCATATTTCCTAGAAACTGTTGGAGTTTTACATATCAAGTAAGCAAGAAAAGTACTAAAATATAAATAAGTACATGTACACTTATAATCGGCACTGAAATAACTACTAGATAAATTTATAGTGTCTTAAGTCTCAGCTATAGTGTCAGATAAAACTTAAACTATAATCAATATCCTTCGAAACAACTGTCGTTAAAATGTCTTCCTTTTATCTAACGAGGTTGATTACCATCAGACCTTCATTCTTTGAAAGCGGGGTCCTAATTAACAATGCAGACTAAATAGAATCTACAAATAGTGTCAAGGTTGTATGTTTGGGGTTTAACGTTCAGGCGAAAGGCCGAGGTCAAGTGTAGTGTGAGAGAGAGAGGTGTTAGGCAGACAAGGTAAAACCAACCTGTTTAGATGGTAGACTATCAGGCTTTGGACAAATAATAACATATACATATATCAACATAAGCTAAGCATAAACATAAGAAAAGACATGCATTGTTTATCTTTCCAGTCCGGACACATGCCCCTTCGGCTTGTCTACATGTATTGTAATAGGAAAAATATTGTAGACTGTTCGGTAGAAAAAGAAATTCATTCCAAGTTAATGATTTGAATTAAATCTGGACAAATCTTGAAATTATTTAAATTTTATACAATTTGTTTAGAAATAAATTATGAACAGCAATAAAAAAAAGTCCATCCAAAACACTTAAAAAACATAGGTAGCTTGTTTGTAGGATAATGTCACAGATATATTCCAGAATGTTTCAACAATAGAAGTGGGAGGGTGCATATGTCCAGAAATAAAGTATTTGATAATATAAACAACTCGTTGGAATATATGTGTTATTTAATTACTATATATCTATAATCAGGCATGGTATATCAGCAATTATCCCATAACGTTTGTTTCTTCACTTTTAACTTATTCACCCCTGAAGACACATTTGAACTAACGTTCTTCATGAAATTTCAGGGGAGAATGAGTTAAACACTGTATAACATATAGTATACACTGCGATGTTTCAAGGCTCTTCACCTATCAACTTTGACCTTTGACTTTGAATGCTTTTCCTCGGTTAAACTACTACCACAAGTGACTACATGCAATGAAAAAATTGCTCACGAAATAAACCTTCAAAACCAATGTTATGTGATATAAACAGAATTTTGCTTGTTAGTACATACTAAATATACGTCTATTTCCTGCCACCAAACTAACAATATGCTTTTGGTACTGACCCGAAAACATTTTATGGAATTTAAAAAGGTTTTTTTCCATTATAACAGTTCAAATAGACAGAATTCAAAATTGGCACGGCTATACTATGTACAATCAGCAAGTGTAAAAGAAAATTTGTTTGTTTTTGTTTGAATAGCAATCGATATTCTATTGATACCCTCACTAACTTAAAAGATCTTCCTTTCATCTTTTCAGGGGTATCAACAGAAATACTGACATTAATGATTACAACACTTTAGTAAAAATATTCTAATACTAGAAGTTCCTTCTTGTAACGAAGTTTGAAAATAAAATGAAAATTAACCATTATTGCTGCTTTTGATTATGTAGCAGGAAACAAACATATACTTTGTTTTGGCCTTACAATAATACTACATCGGTTATCTTTTTTATCTCACTCTTGTTGGTCATTTTTCAATAGTTGCTGAAGACATGAGGTTTACCGAACTTGAGCGAGATAAAAAAGATAATCAACCGTCACTTGTTGAGGAAACTCAAAACAAGAAGTGATTATATATTAGTTCTACACCAGCTATTTGACTAGCATGTGTACATCAGTGATCTACAGAAAACAGTCATATGTCAGTAAATGTGATGATGTAGATATAACGGCTATGTCAGTAAGTAAAAAGTATACAAACAATACCTTCAACACCTCCTCAGCATCATCTAGCTGTAACAACACAGCACACCTTCACTCACACATGCTGGCACAACAATTTACCACTAGTAACTTCTATTTTCAAGTAGAGATTTTATCACAGTCTAAATGTGACATAGCAGTATAATATTAAAAGATTTTAACAGGAACATCAAGCCTTGGGTTTAGAAGTTCAAGAATCTTAATCATCAGGTCAAGATTTCTTTGTCATACCCTCAAGGTAGTGAAAAAGTTCAAAATTGTTTGTGGTACTGTCTGGGACAAGTTGCTACCACTATTCACCATGACAACAGCTCTAATTCTGAAGTTCTCCAGTGGTTTTGATAATTTATATAATTTCACAGATTTTTGCATTCTTAATTGATCTGTTGTTTTAAGGAATAATGATCATCTTCATTATAGATGGAGCTCCTGAATACTATATTGAATACATCTGAATCAAGACTTATAAAAAACATTTCGTGAACATTTTCGCAATTGTAACCGATACATTTGATACTGATTTTATGGCCAAGACTTTTTGGAAGTGTTTTTCCATATTCTGAACTTAAGTTTAATACACAATTTTGGTCATCTTAAGCCATTTTTTATCACTAAGCAGTATTCTGTAGAAATATCTTTTGCATTGACAGATCTCAGTAATGGCACCCACATACTAGGTGCATTGAAGTCAAATATATTTAGAAGTTAAAATACATTAACCATTAAAAATAAACAGTTTGTTTTAAACAGAAAGTGTCTGGACTACTAACAGGAGCCCATTGTTCATCTTCTCCGATAAACATTGAATTTGAATGTTTTGTTAATTTTCTCTAATAAATGTACATATATTTTTCATTTTTTCCAATAAACATTTAATTTGAATGTATTATATATAGATTTCAAATTATCTACAGACTTGAAGTTTTCATAACTGTATTTGTTAACTAACATTTACTGAATTAATGGTTAATCCTGTATCAAACTGAACAAAACTTGGGGGGAGTGCTGGGGTAGGAGAGAGGTTTTACTGGAATAGCCCTAATAGAAAATACTCAGTTTTTATATCTGAAAGGAAAGGTTATAAGTCCCGTAAATTAGGAACGTTGACGAGTAGATAGATACATACCCCGGGCGTTACTTTGGCATTGACAGCTTGGCTGAGACCACCTCCATACTGATCCTCTTGTTGGGTTGAGTATACACTATAGTCAAATTACACCACACGGACAATCAGTATTTAAAAAGTTTCTGTGTTGTAAGTTAACTTTCCAAACTTGGTGTTACTGGTGTATATACTGTATATTATATGCATAACCATTATTTTGAGAATCAGTTTACTACCTGGAAATGGGAATATCCTATTTCATATTTTTTTTTATACATTCTAATTCTTAAATATCAAAATTACATTCCTAGTACGTACTTGTACCGGATAGCATTATAAAATATTTGCCGCGAAAAGAGGTAAAATAAGACTAACGCTAAATTATATATGTTTACAGTGATCTTATTTTGTATTTAGAAAATACAAAAAATTACATTTTGCAGTATTGGATAGCATTATAAAACATTTGCAGGACATTCCAGAAATGCATTGAGATGGTTGGTCAAAGGCTTGGTGGGAATGGTCAGTACTGGACAACGTGGATCACACAAAAAGTTGTATAACTAGTATATACATACCCCACCGCCTTCTTGTTCTGGTCAAATGACTGGCGAGACTGGGCGAACATATCAAAATCGTCGGAGGAAGGATGCACACTGTTGGTGGTGGGTGTGGAGTTGAGTTGGCCTAGGGTGTTACTCACACTTCCAGCCCCTAGTCCTACACAAACACAAAGTCACGTGTACAATTAACTTCAGGTTTTTGGCCCTCATATGGGTTATGTCTGTATGAAGTTTTCAATGGTAGGTGAGCTAATAATGTATAATGCTATTAATGTTGTCCGGAATGCACTCTAATTATAAATGAGTGAAGTTACTGATAAAGCCCATGTCCTTTAAGACCTTAGTTGCTGATAGCACGTTCAAGCCTGTACAACACAAAATAAGTGAATTGTTTGCTCTTACTAGTAGGCAAAAACTGCACAAGTTACGGTCTTGAACTCGTAGTACAGAGTCTCATGACAATAGTTTTAGTGCTTTGTGTATCATTGTGAAGACAATATTCCGTCTTTGCGTATTGCAGAGTTATCTTATCTTTGGAGCAGGGATTGATTGTTACGTCACTTGTTTGTGAGAGTAACGTAATCAATTTTTGAGAAAACGACATAATTTTCTCGCACAAACCAATGACGTAACAATCAATACCTGCTCCCAAGAGAAGATAACTCTGCAATACGCAAAGACGGAATATGGTAGAAAAGAGTTCATCACTGTGTAGGTGTGGGGGATATATGAGTTCATCCAGCAGCAGTACAACCTCCACATCCCAACACCTACACACAACATCTGTTATTAGCTTTGTGAAGTTGTAGTACTTACCCATGTCTGAGAACTGAGAGCTGAGACCTGTGGGTTGTGTGTCATGTCCTAGGTCAATTAGGTTACCAACACCGGGTTGCCCTGTAGAGGCACTAACCTGTACCAAACAAAATAAAGGTTTAGAGTACAGACTAAATGTGAAATGTTTAATTTTCCACCAAAGAGCAATTGAAAAAGTTGTAACTGTGAGAATGGGTTTTCATTAATTTTAAAATGCAAAGGAATAAGATCTAGACTAACAAGAGAAAGGTTGTGAAACGTGTGTAAAGGAATAAGATCTAGACTAACAAGAGAAAGGTTTTGAAACATGTGTAAAGGAATAAGATCTATACTAACAAGAGAAAGGGTGTGAAACATGTGTAAAGGAATAAGATCTATACTAACAAGAGAAAGGGTGTGAAACATGTGTAAAGGAATAAGATCTATACTAACAAGAGAAAGGGTGTGAAACATGTGTAAAGGAATAAGATCTAGACAAACAAGAGAAATGTTGTGAAACATGTGTAAAGGAATAAGATCTATACTAACAAGAGAAAGGGTGTGAAACATGTGTAAAGGAATAAGATCTATACTAACAAGAGAAAGGGTGTGAAACATGTGTAAAGGAATAAGATCTAGACTATCAAGAGAAAGGTTGTGAAACATGTGTCAAGGAATAAGATCTAGACAAACAAGAGAAATGTTGTGAAACATGTGTAAAGGAATAAGAGCTAGACTAACAAGAGAAAGGTTGTGAGACATGTGTAAAGGAATAAGATCTAGACTAACAAGAGGAAGGTTGTGAAACATGTGTAAAGGAATAAGATCTAGACAAACAAGAGAAATGTTGTGAAACATGTGTAAAGGAATAAGAGCTAGACTAACAAGAGAAAGGTTGTGAGACATGTGTAAAGGAATAAGATCTAGACTATCAAGAGAAAGGTTGTGAAACATGTGGAAAGGAATAAGATCTAGACAAACAAGAGAAATGTTGTGAAACATGTGTAAAGGAATAAGAGCTAGACTAACAAGAGAAAGGTTGTGCAACATGTGTAAAGGAATAAGATCTAGACTATCAAGAGAAAGGTTGTGAAACATGTGTCAAGGAATAAGATCTAGACAAACAAGAGAAATGTTGTGAAACATGTGTAAAGGAATAAGATCTAGACTATCAAGAGAAAGGTTGTGAAACATGTGGAAAGGAATAAGATCTAGACAAACAAGAGAAAGGTTGTGAGACATGTGTAAAGGAATAAGATCTAGACAAACAAGAGAAAGGTTATGAAACATGTGTAAAGGAATAAGATCTAGACAAACAAGAGAAAGGTTGTGAGACATGTGTAAAGGAATAAGATCTAGACAAACAAGAGAAATGTTGTGAAACATGTGTAAAGGAATAAGATCTAGACTAACAAGAGAAAGGTTGTGAAACATGTGTAAAGGAATTAAGGCTGTTGTTTCAAATCTATTTTATGTAAAAGCGCTTTAGAGAATTGCTTCTATAAAATAAAAATAAATCTGGAAGTAACTACCTGATCAGAGGCTCCAGTGACACCTGGCTGTTCTTACCTAGTTAGATAATCTAGTTATACCTGGCTATATTTACCTGGTCAGAGATCTAGTTACACCCGGCTATATTTACCTGGTCAGAGGATCCAGTAACACCTGGTTATATTTACCTGGTCAGAGATCTAGTTACACCTGGCTTTATTTACCTGGTCAGAGGATCCAGTGACACCTGGTTGTATTTACCTGGTCAGAGATCTAGTTACACCTGGCTTTATTTACCTGGTCAGAGGATCCAGTGACACCTGGTTGTATTTACCTGGTCAGAGTATCTAGTTATACCTGGCTATATTTACCTGGTCAGAGGATCCAGTGACACCTGGTTGTATTTACCTGGTCAGAGTATCTAGTTATACCTGGCTATATTTACCTGGTCATAGTATCTAGTTATATCTGGCTATATTTACCTGGTCAGAGTATCTAGTTACACCTGGTTGTATTTACCTGGTCAGAGTATCTAGTTATACCTGGCTATATTTACCTGGTCAGAGTATCTAGTTACACCTGGCTATATTTACCTGGTCAGAGTATCTAGTTACACCTGGCTATATTTACCTGGTCAGAGTATCTAGTTATACCTGGCTATATTTACCTGGTCAGAGTATCTAGTTATACCTGGCTATATTTACCTGGTCAGAGTATCTAGTTATATCTGGCTCTATTTACCTGGTCAGAGTATCTAGTTATACCTGGCTATATTTACCTGGTCAGCATATCTAGTTATACCTAGCTATATTTACCTGGTCAGAGGATCCAGTGACACCTGGTTGTATTTACCTGGTCAGAGTGTCTAGTTAAACATGTACCTGGCTATATTTACCTGGTCAGAGTATCTAGTTATACCTGGCTATATTTACCTGGTCCGAGTATCTAGTTACACCTGGTTGTACTTACCTGGTCAGAGCCTCCTGTGACAATCTGGTCATATGATGGTGGTAAGTGCGAGTCCTGGGGGGAGGGCTCAGGTGACACCTGGGTAGCAGGCTGGTTTGTTTGTTGGCCAGTTTGTCCCGTTCGGTACTTTTCAAATCTTTCATATCGCAGAAACACATTGTTGATGTCGTCATTAATCCTAAGAAGTTCATCTAAAGCAACAAAGAGACATCACAATGATTAAATTAAGTAAATTGTGACATTCAGACAGGAAGCTAATACAAGACCACACTGAGATAAATACAAGAGGCACAGAGGGCTGTATCGCTCACCTGAAGATCCATCCAGTACTTGAGATAAAGCAAGAACAAACTTCAAACAGAGCCCCACCCCTATGTCCCCAGGGGGCCAGACTCACTGTTTATACAAAATTGAGTCCCTTGGCCCAAGGATGCTCCAGATCAAATTGGGAGGAAATCCCTTAATCCCGATGGTAGAAGAAGGATTTTAAAGGTTTTGCCTCTATTTCCCCTATTGGGCCCCGTCCTTCTGCCCCCTTGGAGACCGCACCCACTGCTCAACAATATTAAGTCCCCTTGGCCCAAAGATGCTCCAGACTAAATTAGGATAAAATCCCTTAATCCCTATAGTAGAAGAAGGATTTTAAAGGTTTTACCTCTATCTCCCCTATTGGGCCCCGCCCCTCAGGTCCCGGGAAGGCCACACCCACCATTTATACAAAATTTGTTTCCCTTTACCCAAGGATACTCCACACCAAATATGGACCAAATCCTTTTTATTCCTACAGAATAAGAAGGATTTTTAAGAATAATTTGCTATGTTTCCCCTATTGGGCCCCGCCCCTCAGGCCTCTGGGGGGGCCAGACCCACGGTTTATACAAAATTGGTTCCCTTTCACCCAAGGATGCTTCAGACCAAATATGGAACAAATCCTTTCATTCCTACAGAAGAAGAAGGATTTTAAAGAATTTGCTATGTTTCCCCTATTTGGCCCTGCCCCTCAGCCAGCCCCCAGCGGGGCAAGACCCACCGTTTATGCAAAATTGGTTCCCCTTTACCCAAGGTTGATCCACACCAAATATGGATATTTTTCATTCCTACAGAAGAAGAAGAATTTAAAAAATTAATTTGCTATGTTTCTCCTATTGGGCCCCGCCCCTCAGGTCTCTGGGGGTCAGACCCACGGTTTATACAAAATTGGTTCCCCTTCACCCAAGGATGGATCAGCCTAATATGGAACAAATCCTTTCATTCCTACAGAAGAAGGATTTTAAAGAATTTGCTATATTTCCTCTATTGGGCCGCGCCTCAGCCCCCAGGGGGACCAGACCCACCATTTATACAAAATTTGTCCCCTTTCCCCCAAGGATGCTTCTGGCCAAATATGGAGCAAATCCTTTCATTCCTACAGAAGAAGGAGGATTTTAAAGAATTTGCTATATTTACCCTATTGGGCCCCCCCCCTTAGCCCCCAGGGGGGCCAGACCCACCATTTATACCAAATTGAGTCCCCTTTGCCTAAGGATGTTCCAGACCAAATTTAGTCCAAATCTACTGGGCCGTTCAGGACTAGTAGCATTTTAAAGGAAAAGTTGATGGACGGACGGACGACGGACGCTGCGCCATGGCATAAGCTCACTTGCCCTTCGGGCAGGTGAGCTAATATGTAATAACAGTGTCTTAAAACAAAATATAACTTTGTTCTTTTCTCGTTATTTGACTCAACTTTCTCCACAGGGAATCATACTTCAAACTTTCGCTAATTTTTGATAGAAGAGTAATTGGAAACTTTTGCATTGAAAATAGGAGTGTGTTCTCAAAGAGGAGAAAACATTAGTCAACCGTGTCACTAGGTGGCTCTCACATTCAAGACATCTCAGGGTTGGAGTGTGATTTCACTGAAATATAAACATTCAAAGAAGCCACATGTTGACTTTTCTGCTGGTTCTGTATACTTACTTGTTATTTCTTCATTTGCTATTTTATCCAAGAGGTCCACCAGTCTTTGCTGCATTTGTCGATTGGTGCGATTCAGTTCCTAAAAAAGTGACATGTTCACTTGTAATTTAAACCTCTTAAATATTTCTTATATATCTAATTCTGCTTTAATTCACAGAGAGACAATCTCAAATTATAAAATCTAGCAAATAGTTACTCAGACACAATATTAACGAGGAATATATATCCATTCACATATCCAAATCTTTGCAAATTTCTCGTTAGAAGAACAATCAAGAAAATGAGTTCACACAAAAATTAAAAGATTACAATATTAATTCAGTAATTTTTGTACATATTTTTGTTGAAGGTTTAATTTTACTTGCTGAAAGAAACATGAATGATATGTCACTGATTTATAGATAGCTAATACTGCTATGAGTAACCAACCTGCAGCAGTTCAAGGTCGGAGGGGTCGACATTGGTGGGTGATAACTCGCTCAGCATCTCTCCCATCACACGGATGTTACCCTGCACCACGTTCAGCTCACTTTTTAACTTTGTCATCTGGTCTATGGTTGGGTTGATGGGTCCGCTTGTCTGTGGTGCACCGTGTACTGGCTGTTGGGCCATCTGTGGCGGCACTATGGGCTGGATAGGGACTGGGGACATCCCCGGAGCCATCCCCGGAGCCATCCCAGGAGCCATCCCAGGAGCCATTCCAGGAGCCATCCCAGGAGCCATTCCAGGAGCCATCCCAGGGCTCATCCCCGAAACCATCCGCGGCTGTAGATAGGAAAGGAAACATCAAGCTTTTCAGTCACAGAGTTTTCCTGGTATCCATATATAATCACACAACCATCTCTCAACATACTTGGTCATCAATATATATGAAAAATTTAAGGAATAACCAGGATTATTTTTAGGATTAAACAGTGTATACCGAAAAAAACTGTGTGCACTTTGCGTAAATCGGCGTGGTTTATGCACAAAGGTCAGATTTTCTTATGTACATGGCCTTATTGTACAGTATAATGTACATGTACATTGTATTCAGATGTATTTCTACTCTTTCCAGCTTTTTTAACATAATATATGTATGTGGACATTGGAGTATTACAAACTTTTACATCCATATTCAAGTATCAACAGGCCAATTTGTACCAATAATTCAGATTTTCATTACAACAATGCATGAAATACAGATCAATGACGCTCCAGAAACAGACATGTACTATTACTGTATGTAACAGACATGTATTATTATTGTATGTAACAGACATGTACTATTATTGTATGTAACAGACACTCATTGGCAGGATGCAAAACATAACACATTTGATGGCGGACTTGAAACCACATACTTGAAAGCAGACCGACAATTAATTTATATATATATTACAAGCTTTATATGGTTGCTATGTTAATGGAAATAAACAAATGTATACTGCTTCTAAACAAGCTAAGACTGTGAGTTCTTAGTGAAGTCATGATCCGCACATGAATGACCTCTACCCCCACCAACTTCCAGACTAAACAAACATTCACGGGGCCTTCACCTCATCTTTCAAATCACGTTTACTATATACACACTCGTCTTTTTAACCTTGACAGATTCCTTGGAATTGACAAGTTTTAAGTCTTCCTGAAAATTATTTAGTCAAACTGAACTCTCGACTTACTATTACATGTATGGGTGATGATCAGGGTGACGCTTTCAGTCTAACGTTCTTACAACCAGCTGTATCATATTAGCAGGTTATCTATGCAACTGTGTGAACATTTTATCCACCTTTTTATACAAAGATACTATCCACATATAGTTATATGAACATATTATCCACAAATCAGAATATGTATTTCTGTATATTTGGAAATTTTCGCCGCAGTTTCATTTTCAACTTTTTTGAGGGTGAATTTACCATGACAGTGAATATAAGTAGACAGCATACTGTATATAACGTTAGTTATTACATGTGAAGGGCGAAATTAACACTGGGTGAATATTGATTGCACTGGCGAATGGCGAATATTTTGCTGGGTGAAAGTGTCCCCGTATAAAATATCCACAATGCAATGTGAGCTACAAATTTAAAGCTACATGTATGTAAACATGTTTAGTTCTTTCCCCCATCAGTCAAAGAATTGTCTATCACCCTTACATTACGACAGACTTGAGGTCATAACACAATTGAAAGTAACGAAGATGTCACAGAACAAAACAAAAATCTGATGTCGCCACCAGCTCTCCACAGGAGGGAAAGATTACAGATGCTGATAACTATTGGTTTGGAACATATTACTGATAGAAAAAGAGCAGAAGAATCACCCTCTGCCATAGATATATGATGACATTTTTCTAAATGTCTAACTCACGGCATGCTAACCAATTAATAAAAGAATCACCCTTTTGGTTAAGTTTTTCTCCGTCATACCTTCATGGTAAAGGGAAGATCTTAGGTGTCCACCTCTGACACTTCCAGTGAAGGAGATCTCCCTCATTCCAAACTTCCAGTGAAGGAGATCTCCCTCATTCCAAACTTCCAGTGAAGGAGATCTCCCTCATTCCAAACTTCCAGTGAAGGAGATCTCCCTCATTCCAAACTTCCAGTGAAGGAGATCTCCCTCATTCCAAACTTCCAGTGAAGGAGATCTCCCTCATTCCAAACTTCCAGTGAAGGAGATCTCCCTCATTCCAAATTTCCAATGTGTGAGAAAGTGAGTGAAACGCTACTGAAACTGCTTTGCTCAATTTATCTTTCCTTATATATGTATCAAAATAACTCCAAAAGCATTCATTTGATTCAGAACACACCTGTTATGATAATTACACACACCCTGCAGTACCTAGGAGATTATTTGACCACAGGAGGTAGAATTTGAGTTTGTGTGAGATCGGACTTGAAGGAGGGAGTTTCGATGGAGATCGGTAAATTTTGGTCAAAATGAGGAAGTCTCCTAATGAAGGAGGGTTCACATACAGTTATGGAAGATTCCATTCATTTATATGAACATGTTACCACAAAGCTATAGGAACAGACGATACACACCAATGTTACAACATGGAATGCAGTACAGCAGGACAAACATGCATGACATGCAAAACACCCAATTTTTACTTCACATTCCCGCTAAGTCAAAACACCCAATTTTTACTTCACATTCCCGCCAAGCCAAAACACCCAATTTTTACTTCACATTCCCGCCAAGTCAAAACACCCAATTTTTACTTCACATTCCCACCAAGTCAAAACCCCCAATTTTTACTTCACGTTCCCGCCAAGTCAAAACCACCCAATTTTTACTTCACATTCCCGCCAAGTCAAAACACCCAATTTTTACTTCACATTCCCGCCAAGTCCAAACACCCAATTTTTACTTCACATTCCCACCAAGTCAAAACACCCAATTTTTACTTCACGTTCCTGCCAAGTCAAAACCACCCAATTTTTACTTCACATTCCCGCCAAGTCAAAACACCCAATTTTTACTTCACATTCCCGCCAAGTCCAAAGCTTCATTCATAACTGTTTTATCAACATACAGATATGTTGGTGCTAAATTATAATTTATATAAAATATTCTATAGAATCATAGAAGAAAAACACCAAGAAGAGGGAAAGTTGCCGGTAATGGCCATACATATATAGGAGTACCATCAGAACCAGGTAAAGTCATGCATATAAAACAAAGCCAACCTCTAGATCATCAGCTACCATATATTTGGCCTGCAGTGTAATGAACGAGTGTCAGGGAAATAATTACATATACATCTATATACAAGTGATGAGTCCAAAGGTATTGTAAACCACTCGTATCTACCTTACATCTATATACAAGTGATGAGTCCAAAGGTATTGTAAATCACTCGTATCTACCTTACATCTATATACAAGTGATGAGTCCAAAGGTATTGTAAACCACTCGTATCTACCTTACATCATAAGTGTTTCAGTATCATTTATAGTTGGCTGTATTAAGCTTGATACAGCGCTTTTGACATTTCCAGAGAAACAACGACAGAAAAATATCTTAATTACAAAATGGTTGTTGATAAAACATATGACTTAGTTTTAGTAACAGAGGTAATATTTTAAAACGGAACATTTTTACAACCATTGAAATTTCATTTTTCCTATCTGAAAATTTAAATAATAACCATACCAGCAAATGTTATGCTGTAAAATTGCATGTACAAATTATTTTAAGTGGGTACCATGTTTAGGTGATGCAGGATTTTTTTTTATTTATGTATTTTTTTTAGGAATTTCCTATCAAAAATTATTAATGTGTTCATATGATTGATTCACATATATAAAAGGCTATATACAAAGTAAACAGTTAACACATTCCTGGTGCTAAATATTGGACTATTTGAACATACAGTCTCTATACATTTTTACAATAAATGTATGCATTAGAGGAAAAAAATATGAATAACAGACTTTTTTGGTGTGGAAAAAACCCACAGTAAGTTGATTTTTTAAAAAGAAACAAATAAATAAGATACAAAGTGTTAAAATGTTGTTATGAACAATTCAATATTTGTGATTAAATAATGAAAAAATCATTGTAGAAAATGTGTCAAGTAAAATTAATTCCCAGTTAAGATTTATATACGATACTTACAGCTCTGGTACTACTGGCAGGCCTCATCCTGTTGAGCCCCGGATCTACATCAGGATGACCACCATGTGTCTGTTTAAATTTTGAAGAGGAATTATTAACAAACAAATTCAACTCCAAATGTTTGATATCATTTGCTGAACATTTACTTTCTTGTACGTCCATTTATTTATTTTTTAAAACATTATAGTGAGCCATGATCATTGTACTGCATTATGTAAATCATACACCTTGACAGGTGTATACCCTGTAATATATTTTCAACTTAATCACAACATTATGTACCAGCTCATATCTGATCTATTGTTACCCCCCGACCATGACCAGGCATGCACTCTCAAAGGACATTAAAATATCAAAACTTGCACATGTGTCAATATGATCACTTTTTGTTTTCAGATATCAAGCAGATACTGTACACCGGGAAAATTTAGCCGCAGTTTTTACTTTCGCCTTTAACGCCCTCTGTAATGAGGGCGAATTTTTTATCATGAAAGCGAATATTAAAACACACTATACTATATATAGTCATTACAAGAGAAGGTGAAAATAACATTGGGCTAATATGGATTTTACCAGCAAAGGGCGAAAGTTTAACTTAGCAATATTTCTCGATATACAGTATATGCACAAAAAAAAATCAATATGAAAACGTCGCTCTATTTTTTTTTAACCCTAGGTGGCGGTGTAAGTGTAACGTACCCGTGCCGGCGTATGTATGGGAGCCATGCTGTCAAGGTCAGTCATGGGGAACTCTATACCCTTACTCTTCAGGTCCTGGTACACCTTCTCCACCTCCCTCAGCTCCTGGATGCCACGGAAGGCATCAGCCCATGTCTGTGGGTTCATAACAAGTCATATATACATGTATGTAACATTTTTATATGTAAACTGATCATCTATTCCAATTTAGTATACCACCATTGAGAATTTAATTGTGTGATTGGCTGAATTCAGTCACATGACCCAATATTACATTCCATTGTGTGACCCTGAACATGGTAAGATAGAAAATATCCAACTCAGGGTCATAATAATTATATATGTTTACAGAAACTTAGTGAAATAAGTTTAAAATGTTGTCATACAATTCAAAATAACCTCCTGCATGTGTCAATATGTTGAAATTCAGACCTTGGACCAACTTCTCTTGGTGTCCCTGGTCTGGTTAAGCCACCTCGAGTAGCTCATTCAGATTTTCTGGTTAAGCCACCTCGAGTAGCTCATTCAGATTTTCTGGTTAAGCCACCTCGAGTAGCTCATTCAGATTTTCATTTTACCATATCGACTCATACAGGATTAAATACTGGACATCATATTTACGTTATAATATATATATATTAACTGTTCAACAACAGATTAAAATAATATTACATACTGAATAAACAAAACTGACATTTATGACATACAAGTTATCAGTAAAATGCAATTATTATATCTTTGTTTAATGGTGATCACATTTTTCTGGAAAATGATAATGATCACAGAGCAGAAATCCTTTGGAAAAGAAGACCTCAACAACAGACTGAAAGGTGACACCTCTGGAGAGTGTATATTTTGAGATAACTGGCCACAGGTCTATGATCGCCTCACCTGTATGAGACACAGGACCTTCTCCTGGAGCGCCTGTGGAGGGTCGTACTTGGGACCGATGATTTTCACCATGTCCCCCAGAAAGTCTTTGTTGGCCACATACTGATGGAACCTCTTGCCACAGTTCTTGACACATGTCTCCAGACACTGTAGAAATGAATAGATACAGTGAAACAATAAATCAAACTGACTTTACTTAGGAAATTGTGAAATTGAAATGGCTTTGTTCAAGTAAAACAGAATCCACTATATGTGGGAGGTCTAGATCTATATACTGATATGTATTGTGAAACACCAAACATGTCTATATTCATGCATCACTGTACATATACAGTTCAGGTTTTTATCATAATCAGGCCAAATGACATGTTTACCCAACACTTTTGTTACATAATAATGATAATAATTACAACCTAGTTCGTAGGTCGTCTTAAAGCGGTTCACAAATAATTATCCATGGTTATAGGGCCTTTTGCAACCAGCCAATATACATTTTTCTCAACTCCCTGGGGAGCATATATACAGCCATTGCTGCCATTTCGGCTCTCACAGCCAGCTGTCAACGTTTCTAGCACTGCCCAACCACATACTCATTTATAGCCGAGTAGACTGGAACAAGCGAAGTTAAGTATCTTGTTCAAAGATAACACAGCGCCATGCCATGACTTGAACACGCAACCCCTGGTCACGAGCCCGGCGTCCTACTACTAGACTTTTGTGCCTTCAGATAAAAAGCACATAAGAAAATTTAATAATTTGAACAGACCAAAATCATGACAGAACCAGTTATTTTGCCTGCCTCTTGTTCTTAATAACATTGTTATGCCCAAGTACAAAAAATAAATTGATCGATAAAATCAATATCACTACTTCATACAATACTGGGACACTGGATTCCATTTAATATCACAATGCTTGGATGTCACATTCCCCTTTTTATTACATTACCCTCGGGTAATGACAAATGACTTCATGAGGAATGTACTGTATACACTTCTCATGAGAAAATCAGAGGAAATTACATTTCTGCTTGTCTTACCGTCAAAGTATATATGATGGCCACATTGTTTTTGCCAACATTTTGTGAAAGTCTCTTCTTTATAGCCTTGATTGCCTCCTTAGGTCTGAAAACATGGCAGAAATGTTGTCTTTAGTTACATATCCCAATGTAGATAGATAATTATATATACCTGTAATTATATTAAAATACAGCATCACCATAAATTCATCTCAGATTGTCGTTTCCAATTTATGTTATTACACATACTGTAGATGTTATTATTTTAGGATCCAAGCACTAGAAAAGGAAGTTAAAGTTTTACTACTTTGAGTGGTCCACTTGATGGTCCAATGATATGCTTTTATACCGGTATGCAGTTTTAACAAACTTTACTGCATATCTCTACATGCAAAATATATCAATAATACCAGTAGGTAAATGTAAACACATATAAAACAATTTGGAGAATTTACCTGAATTGAACTAAATCTTTATACACCTCAGACTACTGTATGCTACAGTTGGCTTTACATTGTACCAGGTATAGATAATATTTCAATCTAATCAATATCCTATTTTTTAGCTATGACAATGATTCAGTCCTAAGACTTCTTATATACTAAGATACAAAACAAATTCCTGTAAGGATAATATGGATTAAACTTCAACATTAATACAAACTAAAGAGACGCATGAATCACAAATACACCCATAAACTTGTACTGTAGTCACATGTGTAAGGCTTATCAAGAAATCCATTATGTGCATTGCACAGGTGACGCATTCCACAACAGTTTTTTATATCATGGTAACATAAAAACTTGCCATCAGCCTAAGCCTATGTGGTTAAAGTGGTAGTCAATATCAATGCAATAACAACTGTAAAACTTCTACGTAACAGAATTCATGTGCATAAAAGATTCTGAGGCAAAGTGTTTTGTGCATAATGTGTAACTGTATATTGGAAGATATTTGTGTTGGTATACGTATAGAATTTTAATGTTGACATTCATACCGATGGCTTCTAAATCTAAATCAATATTTCCTTTTATAGACATCTCATATATATTTGTACATACTTCAGTTACAGTGCTTATATCTATTTAAATTTTATCAGATATTCAACACTTTATGGGGAAAAAAATACTATTTAAATGTATTTACATAATATGATCATTATTGTTACTGACATATGCAATGTATCACTACAAAAGATGTTTAAAGGTGTGTATATTTATATATTAGAAAGCAATGTATGCATATGACAACTATAATACGATTTTTACACACTCAACACTCCTATATTTATGCAACAACATCAAAACATTTTATTGTATTTATAGATCTAAAATAAAATATAGCTATATTATGTATATAAAAGCCAAATACAAAACTAAGAATTTCCAATGACCTGAGAATGTCTGACATTCTGGCTCTGCTGTAAGGCATCACTATAATCAAGTGTATGAATTGAATGACTTATGAGGCTACCGCAACAGGTGCGCAAATTACATGGGTTTTTACGGTAATTAATTACAAATCCATTTTGTAATACAATCATTAGATTATCATTCTCTATCTCTCACAATGCAATTTGTATATTCTATGAATAATTCAGAGATTACCAACATATTTATATGGATAAATATAGCTCTTTTTACGATAAAGACATTTCCACAGCTGTCACTGCAGGTAAAGTACAAAATAGTATTATCTGGTACACAAGATATGATTCAGAAACATTTGATACAAATGCCTATCTATTTTGGAAACTTCCATTTGCTTTATCAAAAAAAAAAAAATCAAAAAAAAAAACGAAAACATATTGTCAAGATTATTTACCATTATAAAGAATACCTATCTTTTTTTCTCTTGGAAGGAAACATATAATGGGAGAATGTCAACTTCATTAGATCATGGATGGAAGTATGTACGGTAATATGACTTATAGAAGGGACTAGTTTCCCAGTTAACATTTGTATGGTGTCATTTTCACAATATAATGTTCTTATTAATGAATGTGAAATCAATATAATTATTCGACACTCGACCCCAGTCTACCCTTGAAAATATTGACAGGATCAGTTTATAATAATGAATAATAAACACGAAAAACTATGTCAGCTTTCACCAGATTTCACATGATAATGATCACAATTCCTTGACGTTAAGAAAGTGGATTCCACTTAATACCACATTGCTTAATGTCACACTTCTGTTAATATCATGTTTTTTCTGTAATACAAGTTATTTTCTGTATGTATTTTATGTAATGTTCCCTGATTTATAAAATGTGATTTGGTACAAGCTACTTTAAATATAACGTTTTATTGCAAGCTTTTCAACATACCGGGACACTGTATCACCATGTAAAAATTATTTGTACTTAATTACCAGATAATTTTTCTTCAACTTGTAATGGTTGATTTTAACACAACAGATAGATGTGTCTCTAAAGTCACCCATTGTGACAACTTGAGACTTAAATTTTTGGCTGGAGGATTTAGTACATTCAATAAAAGAAGTTGTCCAAGACTCCAGCTTGTACCTAATCAGAGAGACAATGTTAACTTACCCTTCATCAGTCTCATTGATCATATCACAGACTTCCATAAAAAGTCCCCAGTTTTCAGATGCCTGGGATCCATCTGTAGCTCGTTCTGAAACATGCACATAAACAACTCTAGTTATCGTATGTATATTAATACAAGTTAACAATTGATATGCATTAAAAGTTCCTCTTAACATTTTTTTTTTTAAATATCTGAATTAGGTATTTATACTGAAATTTGTGTGAGGTAAACTATAATTTGTGTGAGGTAAACTATAATTTGTGTGAGGTAAACTATAATTTGTGTGAGGTTAACTATAATCTGTGTGAGGTTTGTGTGAGGTAAACTATAATCTGTGTGAGGTAAACTATAATTTGTGAGGTAAACTATAATTTGTGTGAGGTAAACTATAAATTGATGTTAAATGTAAAACTTGAATGTGCAAAATGGTCTATCTTTAAATTTGCAATGAATGAAAATATAATTTTTAATGAGTTATACATTAATTTACATTATAACTTAAAAATTAGTGATCTAACCTTTCTAAGATGAATGAGAGTTCTTTAACTACTGTAATTAAGTCCCCAGGTAGCAGAGTACAGTAGCGTACGGTGGCCATGGGTGATATTTTTATACAATGAATAACCCCTGTAATGTAACATGTATCAAAATTTAAAAAAAAAAATCAGCACTAAAATTGGCATATACATGATGAAGTGGACTATGTGGGCTTCATAATTTAAAAAAAAGAAAAGTCGAATTTGGTTTGAGACTACAATTTTGGGCATTTACGAATCTGTGTCTACACAACAAAAGCTAGCTTTTCATGTAGTCTATTTTTGTACTCAGCACATGTGTAAATATTGTGAAAAATCCACCGGAATGACCTATGCTAAAACGTGAGTATTTCTGTTACCGAGTAGGCGATATTTAATTTCAGACAGGTTTTAAGAAAAACAATTCTACTTGCGGGGGTCAAATTCTGGGTTAAAAATCATGATTTTTTGCATATTTTGGTGTTTTTTGATGTGGTAACCATGGTTTTCAGAAGTCCCAAATTTGGGGAAATCACTTTTTGAAAAAAAAAATGTTCTTCTAAAAAACACCTATTCAAAATGTAGTTTATAAATATATATATATATGTAGGTGTGTTGTGCAGGATGAATCCGCTATCCATGTTTATCCGAGACATGCCCTTTATTTTTAGGGTCAAGCCATTTCTACTGTACTCTGCCACCCCAGAGGTGAATTTATTTTAATAGTTATTCTGCTGATCAATAGCAAATGAGGCTCTTTTTAATTCATGCATTAAGATAAAGCTGAAAACAACTCGAACTTACAGTAATAATAAGTGACATATTCTAACACAGTACTTACACTTGTTTAAATCCTGTTAAAAATTTCTGTCAAAAACAGTGAGATGCCTTAGCTTACTTTGGCTCTTAAAGTTTGTGAATTTTTGTTTGTTTAGTCCCCTTGTTCTTCTGGAATTGTTTAAATTGAACACTCCATCCTTTTCAATTTTGTCATAGCCAGACGTAAGTCTATCAGTCTAGTATACCAGGAAACCAGGAAAGTATACCAGGAAATTTGCATCGCAGTTTAACTTTCTTCTTTTTAGCCCCGGAAATGACAACGTATTTATCATAGGAGCCAACAATAGTAAACATCATAATAAACATAGCAATCAAATGTGAAGGGCGAAATTAACACCAGACGATGACTGATTTTACCGGCGTAGGACAAAGGTTTGAGTTGGCAAAAGTTTCCTGGTACACAGTAATCATTATCAATTCCACTTGTTTAGACTAAGTTCAGTGCTATGATATTTATGATGATAAATATTTTGGTAATTTAAAGGGACGATTTAGTCCAGTCATTTTTTTTTTATCAAATCTTGATTTCATGATGATGTAGTTAGACTCCTTTTGAACATTTTATGTTGAAATTTTTTGACAAGGTCTATTTTTGTTGATGTTCTTATAATCAATAATGAAGTAATCCTTAATGGTATAGCCATACGTTTTAGCAGAAACTGTCGGTGAACTGTCATATGAGCAATGCACAAACATCTTTTAATATTGTAAACAGAAAGGTCTTTCAACCCACTGTAAGAAGGTAAATTCATGCTTTAGTGATCACCTAGCTCATGTCTTTGGAACACCAGTACAGGCATACATACATTCTGAATCAATAATACCATCTTCCAAACAACATTACAATTATTGTAATAAATCAGTAATTAATTTCACATTAAAATTAAATGATATCGTACAATCTCAAATTCACCCTAAGGTACCCACTTGTGTGCATATACTCTCATTAAACCTGTTTCTTTTTATTCAAATCCAACAGTGAACAAAAATATGTCTTATTAGGCTTAAATATTATCATGATACATATCGTTTTGATTCATTGTGATGTACTGTGTAAAGTGACATGTGAAATCAAACCCACTGTGTTGGATATATGTATATGCAAACAGGGGTTTTCTCACCGACAGACATGGATGTTGTGCTATTTTGATTGTAGCTATATATTTATCACCGGCTTTCCCAAAACATAAAACAGACCATACCAGACACTGACTTCAGACCATAAAGTTTTGTAAGAAGTTATATGTTTTCGGTAATAGAGTGAGTTAAAGGGTATTAGCTCAATGAAAACCCCTATAATGAATTAATTAAATTAAATACATTCAAAATAACCTAAAGACCTACGTATACCTGAACACTCAAAATTTTGACTCGCATTAGTTTTCCCAATACAATAGTGTACTGCACTTGCATCTCCCAAAACAGCAAAGCACAATTGTGAGTAAAAAATGGCTGCATAATACACTAATATTGTAGGGTAGCACGATTTACCCAAAAAGACCCCAAAACACCCAAAAAGGCCCAAAAAGACCCCCAAAACACACAAAAACACCCAAAAAACACCCCAAAACACCCAAAAACATCGATAAGACCACACAAAAACACAGACGACACTTAAATGATATTCAGTTAATATTATAATGTAGTAACCTGTTTTTTCGGCATNATATCGATAAAAATTTCCTGCTTATAAGATACCAATTGTCTTTAAATGACTGTACACTACAGAATACCGTAGTACATACAAGAAATGTTTACTGCACTGTGCAGTAGCAGATTACACCTGAGGCTGAAAGGACCAGGATACCAAACTGTCAACAATGAGAACTCTCCCAAAATACCGGTGGCATTGGGCTGTGGATGATTCACATAATGCATTCAACATAAGAGCATGTTTATTTTTATCAGAAAGGTTAATTGAAAGTAAAAGCAAAGTTCATGTTTCTTGCTGTTTGTGCAGAAAACATGAACCCAAGTTCATTGACATGAGCCGTCTCACCCGTTGTTTACTTCTTTTACAGCGCACTTACTCCTCCCTGGGAGGGGCATTATGGTGAAATGCAAATGGATGACTGCCTATTATTTCTAACATGACTAGATCAAAAACAACGTAATCGGCCTGTGTATCCAAATTACAAGACTACAACCAATCTTACCTATCTTCTGGCCTATTGGTGTGACCAGAGGATTTCCTCCAAAGATAGCGGCCATTTTGCCAATATGAAATGACGTCACTGTCCCGAGGTTTTCTATTTATAGAAATAAACATAAGCCGTGAAATAAAATAGTTGTAAAACATTTTTTGATGAACAATGTTAAATTATAAATATTTAGAAGACAAAAATGTGTCCATACTAGTTAAAGATATATTTTTATTGAATTCTTTAATATCATTCACCGGAAATGTAATGTGACGGAAGTTGACATCTCTGTGGTAACAGCGTCCATCTTGGCACAAGATTATAGGCGTTCGATGTAAACAAGTTCAATTGAGGTATGTCCGTGCATCTCTTTTTGCTCTAAACGACGTTAATTTGACATCGTCGAAAAGCGTATATGTAAATCTTTCATAAAATGTAAAAGTGTATACAAAGATTGTGTAAAAGACCCGTAGCATTCCAAAGTATTTCAATGGGATGCAGTAGCGTATACATACATGTCTGCATCAGTGCATGTGTGAATGCTAGCTATATTGTAGCATGCCCACTATGAATGCTAGCTATATTGTAGCATGACCACTGTACTAAGGTACAATTCTTTACAGAATACATGATTTGTGTTACATTCATAAACTGATGATATTTAATATCACTTTATACTGTCACTGCTGTATTATAGTATGTCGACATTCAGTTTTCAACATTTGTATACCAGTTTCATTGACAGGTTTGATTTGGTAAGTTATAAAAGGCTGTAAAATAATTATATCAAAAGTGATGACACTTATCTTGAAAGTTCCCAAAGAACAAACAATTACAGAAAAATAATCCAGATCAAAACACACTTAACTACATGAAGAGTTTGTTTGAGAACAGAAAAAAATATATCTAGATCTACAATCTACAATACTTTCTTCATTAATTTATAATTTTGATATATAAAAATTCTTCCACAGTGATTTGTAAGCTGTGTTCCACCGATCACAATGAGTCGACTGTATGACACGGTGGAGCCGGCGGTTGTCGACGAGGACATGCTAAAGAGAGCAGTCGAGGAGCAAGGACCTAAAGATGAAGCAGGAAAAATTGCGAAGTCTGAAGGAATTGATTTTGGAGATGTGTTAGCCCTAAGACTTGATTTTTTAAGTGAGGATCCACCTTTCAAAAAAATCTTTCAAATTTCCCTGCAGTATAGTAATGTTGTAAAAATGCGAGTTAAAAACAAAAAGAGTAACCTGATATAAATATATTAAAATGTATTTCATCATATTTGTAAAATGGTATTTAACATTCTCCGGTTTTATCAATATCATATATTTTTTTGAATTTCCATCTGACATCCTTGTGTTTGGAAAAAAAGAATCATAGTAAATTTTTTTGTCCATCTCGTTTTGCAGATAAAGAACCTTAAGGAAACATGCAAGAAATGAAATATTAAAAAATTGGTATAAAACAAAATTTCAAACACAAATATATTGAGAGGTGAACCCCTATACATTACAATTTGATTTTAAAAAAAGATTAAATTAGTGGTTTGCAAATACTGTATCAGTGACATCCAACGAATTTTCTTTTCTGACTTGTGCTAGCATTATCTCTGTTGAAGTTTGAAAATATCAATTTATTGACACAAATATGTATAGATCTGTAATCTGTTTAATTTGACTAATGTAATTAATATTGTATTTCAGATGTCTTAAAGATTGACAATTTGTGGGAATTTACAGCATTAACCAAGTTACAGCTTGATAACAACATCATAGAGAAAATAGAAGGTTTGGATTGCCTGGTCAACTTGGTATGGCTAGGTAAGTAATATGTGGCAATATGAAGTTTACCATATCATTTGAATGTTTCCTTTTTTTTTTAAATTTATTTTAATAAGAACATATTTAATTAAGATAGATTTAAGAAAGGTGTGTTTTTAGTTGTTTTGTATCTAATGGGTTTTCCATTAATTGTCATTTAATCCTCATCACTGCATTTTGAAAGCACCTAAGACAAATTCTCTAATGTGAAATTATCATGGGTGCAGAACTAAGTAATAGACATTATACACTTTTTATTTACCGGCTGAGTTGGCTAGGAACATCACTATAATAATGGCAGCTTGAGAGACTCTAAACAGACATGTTTTGTTCGGCCTTAAAAGGCATAATATAAACTACATGTTTACTGCACCTTTTACCTTATCAGACTGTGATTAAGATTTAAAGGACCTTCACACATTTGTCCCTAAAGTCATATGTGAACCTTACCAAATCAAAGACTAGGCAAGTCCAGTTTTAATATGAAGAGGGTGAATGAGTTGAAGGGCCTATCAAACTACAGAAACTTCAAATCTAACCAAAGTGTGTATCCTTTTTATAATATTTTATATCAAACCTTTGTTTTATTTACACAGACTTGTCCTTCAACAACATTGAGGTGATTGAGGGTCTCAACGCTCTCACCAAGCTGGAGGATCTGACATTGTACAACAACCGGATTGCCACACTGGAAAACATGGATACTCTCTTAAACCTCCACGTCTTCTCCATTGGAAACAACATGCTCACAGAACTAAGCAATGTAAGCTGGTTAACTTCTCTATTTGACAATAGCTATGTGGATATCAGCATAGCAAGTTTCAGGTTATGTGAAACTGAGAGTAAATTATATAAAAAAAAACATGATGGAATGATTTTGACATTTTACACGTAAGTATGTATATACACAATCACATTTTTAATCATCCTTAACATCCAGGGGTTACGCTCACCTTCGCTCCCTGCACCGCTGGAATATGTCATAGCAAAAATGAAGGCTCAGTGTGCGCTACCTTGTTGATGAGACAAGAAGACTAGTTTGATCCTTTGATAAACATCAAAAGAATCTCGTGGTCACCTAATGGTAAAAATTGACAGGCTTTGAAGTCGGCGTCTCTCCTTTGTAATCTTCATGACATATACCAGGGGTGCAGAGAACGAAAGTGAGCGTAACCCCTAGATATCGAGGCTGATTTTCAATATAGTGATTTTAAATTTACTTCCTTGGATTTTCCTAATCATTAGGACAAGTACTTGAACCAATTGTCCTCCCCCTCCCTCCAACCCCTTTACACTCCCACTCCCCTCGCCACCCCCCAAAAAAAATTGGGGGAGGGGGGAGAAAGAATTGATTCAAGCACCTGTGATTATATTTTTCACCAGCTATTCTGTTTGCATGAATTACTCTAGATAATTTTCACAATTTATAATTGCCAGTAAGTAATATATAAAATATGTTTCAGAAAGTAGTATATGTATGCTATTTAAATACTTTATCAATATTTCCTATTTCAGTTGTTATATCTGCGAAGGTTTAAGGAAATGAAAACATTAAACCTCGCTGGCAATCCATTCTGTAAGCAGAGCGGCTACAAACAGTATGTGATTGCCTTCCTGTCTGGTATCGACTTCCTCGACTACCGCCTGGTGGATAAACAGTCGGTCAGTAGATATTATCTAAGCCATGAGTAATAGAGTGATAATTCATATTAATATTACACCATTACATATACAACAAACCGTAAAGTGAGGTTGTTTTTTAGAGCTTGTCAAAGCAGGGTTCTTTTGGTGCTAGAACATACATATTTGACAATTATAATTCAACGAAACCTTGTTTATGTATCCACAATTTTTTCTATTGTTCCAATATTTTAGAGAATCTATTAGGGTATGGCCTTTTTTTATACAAAATTGTTCCAAGTACTTAAGTTGCCTCCCAATCAAGCTACTTTTGCTGTAAATATCAAGACTCCACCGTACTTACAGGGTTTATATCCTTTGATATGTACTAGTTGTGAGTAGGTTGTGAGATGTGTAAATTAATACAGCAGTACCAGATCTGACCCTCTGTCTCTTCCTCTCTATGTTATCCAGTTATTAAAAATCACTTTAAACTAAGATACATTTATTGCATTTTACACTGTAACATTATAACAGAGAGAAGATGCTATGGAAAAACACATGATTCAAAGAGATGAAATGTTACACAATGAGAAACAGGCTGAACTGAAACAGGAAGAGGAAATCAAGAACAAGAAACAGCTGGAACTCCACAAGGTAATTAGGAGGACAGTTTATTTTTAACATTGTACACTTTGAGAACTGATAACAGTGTCTATATCAGTTGTTTTAAATTGTTATTTCCTTTTATATTTATATACATGCAATGTTGTGATTTAAAAAAAATAAAAAAAATATGAATTATTTTTCCATCCCATACATGTTTGAAGACTGAACAGAATGTATGGTTTGAAGAACAATTGGTGCTATAACTATACATATAATATATGAGGTATTTTGTTTTCAACATGACATAAACTTTTACATGAGGGATAAATGTGTCCTATATCCCACACAGGCGGCCTATGTGGAGCTGATGGATGGACCACACCTGTTTGAGATGATGTATATCGAAGATTCTGAGGGACAGAAGTTGAGCGAGATGCCAGGGATTGAAGATCTCTTACAGACATATCCTTTTGTTTACCGTATTTGACTGCAAATAAGCCCCCTCCCCACTTGTGGCAAATGTCCTTGGAACAGGGTGGGTGCCTGCAAATAAGCCCCCTCTCACAAATAAGCCCCCTCCCCACTTTGACAAATGTCCTTGCAACAGGGTGGGTGCCTGCAATTAAGCCCCTTCCTAACTTTGTCTCTCTCTCAAAAAAATGTATGTTAATTTTTGTACATTGTTTACCTCAAAGATAAGGAAGAACATTTCCTCGAATGTTTTGTGAGAACCGTATTTGAGGAAATCCTCAAATATTTGAGGAAATCCTCAAATTTGAGGAAAATCCTAGACTTAAGGAAATCCTCAAAGTTAAGGAAGCTTTGTGAGAACGGGGCCTGCTTCTCAACTGATGTTGCTATTGTTTATTGGTATTTATCAATTATACATAATATGTATAGTTCCCAGCATGATACACAAATTTTGCAAAATGTATTTAAAATAATCTCACAATTTGGCATATTTTTATTGTGCTAATCCAAATTTCCTAGAAATACATGTACTGGATTTCATGTTTTTCCTCTCAAAATATTCTTTAATATCGCTTATCAGTACTTGAATTATATTCCTTGACAGTTTTCACTTTTAAGGACAAATTTGTTGCCATCTGCCATCAAATGTTTGAGTATGGCTTGAAGGAACATGAAAAGCGTGACTCTGAGGTGAAGCAGTTCTGGGAATGTGTTGAGGATGCTGAGCAGGAGAACAAGAATCTTGGCATGAAGGCCATCAACAACTTCATGGTCGTGAAAAAGAGGGTGAGTGGATGAAAAGTTGGTAATAATTACGGGTCTGAAATTCTGGAGTTCTGTAAAGCGTGGATTGTGACTTCACTAAATATTTGTTTACACTTTCTCAATCCTGTATTTCTCTGTTGTGTATGTAGATCATGCAGGAGCTGGGTCAGATCAGTGACCAGAAGGTACTGGAGTCTGTTGTGGCCGACTACAATAATCAAGTTTCAGAGCTGTGGGACAAACTCATGGGGTTGGAGCTACAGATTGTGGACCAGTTGGAGGTATTCTACGCTCTTTGTCACACCAGACATATATACATTTACCCTTTAACCACTGTAGACCATAATGGACTCATCCAGATGAATGCATGGTAGAGTCTACTGAAATTACCTAGGGGTGGAAGGGTTAACCAAAATTGTCAATGTCCACCAAATCACTCTACAGAAATCTCTTTCACAAGTTTCCCTTTCACAAATGTTTATATCTGATTATCATCAATTATTTTTCTAAATTTCTTCATCAGATAAGTATATGGATATCTTCAACAATACAAAGCATGGGCATACTAGAAATAGTAATCCTTTTTTCACTTAATACTTAGTAACACTGTATAGAGCTTTATCACCATGCATTGAACATGGATTTCCTTCAGATTAGAAGATATCACATGTTTCCCTCAGATATTGTTAATTTATAAAGGTCTTCATGAATACTCGAATTTCATTAAACTTCCATCAAATTAATATACATTCTGTATGGATATCTCTGTCAATACTTCTGTTTCCTTCAAATTTTCCACAAGGAAATATTCTTAAACTATCTGACAGTTTATTTAAAACATTATTGGTCAAAATATTAACATGCTAAGAAAAAGATGGACTTTCCAATACATGTACCATCAATTGTTAATGCAACCTTTCATTTGTATGCTTGTAGGACGTCATCAAAGACTTTGAGAGGAGTATGCAGGATCTGGTGGCCTCCTTCCAGGAGAACATCCAGGCTTTCCTGGCCCAGTGTCGGGATCTGGAGACCTTCCATCATGAGAAGATGATGGAGATTGCCATTATCACACTGGAAAAAGTTCTCAAGAACGAGTTAGATGATGAGATCAATGAAGACTTGAGAATGGTGGGATATTTTGAGATTAATATTTGAATATCAATAAGTGACAGGTCTTGCAGCCACGATAATCTAGAATTTCAATTCATACCTTTGCTGATGCTTTGCCCCCATGGTATTGGGTAGCGGCTTTGTAGAGGATATTTCAGAAATTCATTACTTATTGCTGTAATGTAGATTTCTGATTATGATAGCATTACAGCTCTCTGCAGAAATAGCAGTACTTCTCTCTTCAGGATTTCTGATAGCATTATTTCTTTCTTCAAGATTTCTGATAGCACTACAGCTCTCTGCAGAAGAGATTTCTGATAGCAGTACTTCTCTCTTCAAGATTTCTGATAGCATTAATTCTCTCTTCAAGATTTCTGATGGTATTACAGCTCTCTGCAGAAGAGATTTCTAATATCAGTGCTTCTCTCTTCAAGATTTCTAATAGCAGTACTTCTCTCTATAAGATTTCCGATAGCATTGGACATATTAATCAAGACAGCACTTTATTTTGTCATCTGATCACTTTGCCAAATAAACAATAAAATTATAAGGTGGATGTATACATCTCAATGTCATTTAAATATTAAATTAAAGACCTATTCATAACATTTGAAAGTAAAATAGATGCAGTTGATATTGTCACTTGTGCTGGACTGGTAAATCTTGTAAAGTATGGTATGTTGCTTACATGTGCGTTAATCATTACGTTGCATTAAATTTTGTCTATCATTGCAGTTATTTGTGGACAAGGACACCATCATGAACGCAGTTTCCTCGTCACACGATGTTCACCTGCTCAAGATAGACAACAAGGAAGACGACATGGTGACCAGAATCAACCATTGGCTGAAAACGACGATCGACAAAATTCACGAAGATGAGGAAGTTGCCAGAAACCGCATGAGAGTTACAGAAATAAACAATCTTATTGATCACCTACGAGATGAAATTGACAATTTGGAAGTGTTACAAACAGGAAATTACTGATTCCATGTTGGAAGTGCCTTTGATAAATTTTAACTGTGACCAAACCAGTCTGGCATTTTGCACGGGAGAGGTTTGTGCCAAAGGAGATCATTTTACTGTGAAAATAAGGGGCTGATTTGAATATTGTAAGGAACTGTGATTATGACCATTGACATCATTCGTAGAGATGGGCATTTACGATGTTATCATAGTCCTACAGAAGCTTAGAAATATCTGTGATAAATGTAGGTCACGGTCATTGTCGCCTGCAATTTTCGGACAAAATTTGGACAATACAGTGTAACTTGTCCAAACCAATTCCTCAGTATTCTGTCAACTTTAAACATCTCCATCAACGACGTTTCTGCATTACACTAACCTATGATGGTTGATCCATAAGATGTTTGATTTAGACAGATACTACTTTATATCAATTTTGTACAGAGACATGACTTTTGTACATACATTGTAATATATACTGATTCATTGGCTGTCAAGTAATTAACAGACCTATCAATCATTGTTGACAAGTAATATATTTCATTACTGTATAAAAATGTACATAAATAAATGACAAAGCAAGTCTACACACATTAATGTTGAAGTCTTATATTCAGCCTCTGTTGTTCAAATATGATGCCTTCACTTATTTAATATTTATGTATACATCTTAACTACCTCAGGGGTTTCATTTGTAGCCAGTAGCCGGTAAAAATACCCCCATACTTTATATATTTCACTGGATCCTTTCATTTAAAAAAGTTAGAAAAATGGTAATGGGGTACGGGTACTATAAATGTATGAAATGAACTACCTACTTCAATTGTGTTGGATACATGCAACTTGAAATCTGACTGAAACCCCTGCTACATACACTGTGTATCTTCTACTGTATAAATCAGGCGATACTCCTGATTTCAGTTTCTAACTTGCAAACTGCACTGTACTGTACACTGTATTTAAACATCCTTTTTTCTATCTTCAATAAGATTTATCAGTTTGGAAATATGTAATATCAAAGTTTAACTTTATGCACAAACAATGTATATATTAAACGTGTCATAACGTTTCAAGACCGACAGGTCCCTTCATCAACCTATGGCTGGGTGAGCGATTTGTATCAGGAGGCACGGTAGTCTAGTGGTAGGGCGCCGAACTTGTGACCGAAGGGTTGCAGGTTTGAGTCAGGTCACGGCACTGTGTTGTATCTTTGAGCAAGAACCTTTACGCCGTTTGTTTCAGTCTAAGCTGTAAATGAGTACATGGTTGGGCAGTGCTAGAATTGTTGAATGCTAGCTGTGAGCGCCAAAATGGCAGCACCGGCTGTACGCTTCCCAGGGAGTTGAAGAAGATATTGGCTGGTTGCAAAGGCCCTTAACCACGGATAATAAAATGTGAACCGCTTTGAGATGACCTTCGAACTAGGTTGTAATAAGGCGGTATATAAGAACCTCAAATTATTACTATTATTGTTAACCTGTTCAAGGATGTGATGAAATTGTATGTTTTTTATGTCACTCGTCCCGGGACATTTCGTCCATCTATAGAGAGCGAATACACACTGCACCGAATTACAATTTCATCAAATCTTTGTACAGGTAAACAATACAAATAGCTCACTCAGTCATAGCTTAACAAAGGGACCAGTCGGTCTTGAAACGTTGCGACACATTTAAATTTTAATACGTACATTGTGTATAAAGTAAAACTTTGATATCCTTTTCCTTTTTGAAACAATAACTTTAGATGTCTCCCTCATCAATGTATTGTCAAACTCCTTTATAGTAATGAATTTTAGCTGGTACATGTTAACAACTCTTCCTTAATTAAGGTTACTGTATAACATGAAATGTTCGTTGTGTATAAACATTCGTGGTTTTTGTGGTTGATATTGAACCTCGAAAATATATACAACAAATTTGAATGATATACCTGTCTACTGTTTGTTAATATAGGATATCCACGAATGTTTGTTCCATGAAACGATCTAAATTTCGTGTTATACAGTATATAATACAAGGAATAAAATTAATTTCTTGAAAATTAAGGAATCAGAAATCATCACCCCAAGTCTTTTAAAATTCTACAGCTTTATTAACTGTGAGGTTGACATAAAATGGTGATTTACAAGCGGGAAATTCTTTGATACTGGCACTAGTCTATCACTAACTAATGTTTTGGTGGTAGTTATCTTTTGGACCAGACACTAGTTTTCTCACTACACCAGTGAATAAAGACGGCAGCGGCTGCTACGCGTGCCTGTAGGTCATATTTGTCGAAGTCATGGTGCCACTCAACATTGCCCCAAGTGTCTGCCTGAAAATTAAGAAATTATATCAAGTTTCAAACTGTAAAACATTTTTTGACTTTTAAAAAGAAAAATTAGCTTATAAATATAGAGCAGGAGTTCTGACTTTAACAACATTTTTTTATTTGGCCTAATGACATGACCTTTGACTTTAATTCTACACATGACCTTGACAAATTAGAATGGTACACACCGTCAATTCATGATGTTGCCATCTATGAAAAAAAATAAAAAATTCAAGTCATTCAAAATTTATTGTCTGAATAAGAATTATGATCTTTTGACCTTTGACCCTTTTTCATAACCTAAACATTTGGAGAATGGACCTGAAAGGGTTACAGGACCAAACATTGACTCGTCATGATACATTGTACCATCACAGGTAGTAGCCTTGTTTGTCAATACCCCCATATAATGGCTGTATATAATGGCTATAACAGACAGGACTAGAACCTGTGATATCATGATGCATCTGCTTATGGGGTTTGATAGAAAAAATATCTAGTAACTTAAAAGACAATGCCTCTCAAGAGACAGGACAAATGTATGGATAAGATGCCTCAGCAAGAAGACCAACTTATAGAACATTATGATCAAATCCTAAAAACACTCTGGTTTCACCTGTAAAGGACTAATATTATAATGACAAGAACAATGGAGGATGTGGTACCTGATACTGGCTCTCCAGTCGGGACAGGTAAACAGCTCGCTCCACTGATATTTGTTTGTGGACCACAGCCAACATCAACAGCAGTGACTTCAGGGCCTCCACTCCAAACTGGTAACCTGTAGGGTGGCAATGAGTTGAATCCGTACAAACTAATGATCACATTAAAAACAACATTAATACACTGCTATTAGGCAGAACTCTGATATACCTTTAGATATGTGTATCTTGTTATATTTCAAGATGCTAAAAATTATTTCAAATTTGTTTTGCAAATAAGGTGTGCAGTGTATTCTTACCATGCAATGCCCATTCATTGTTGTAGATCAGGTACTTTTCTAAAGTCTGTCTAGTATTGGCAGGAATCACAAGGCTCTGTAGACCAGTGGTTGAACACAACTCTACTTTATATCTGCAAATAAAATCGAGGAATATATAAAACACATTGACTTAACCCCAATCCACTTTATATCCACCAATAGAACAGAGAACAAGAAGCATACAAATCTAAATAAACACTTTTGACCACTGCAATCTCAAAAGTAGGCCAATGTCATACGGTACACTTGAACAAACTTGATAGCCTTCCGAGTTCCACACCAGAGAGCTGCCAGCCAATTATGACTATATCTCATGGTTCTATTGGAGAAGTTGCCTGAACTGTTTCACCTGTCTTCTTTTACTAAAAACGTTTAAAAGCCTATAATCTCAGAAAGTTACATGCCATATATCCTGACTGTACAGCACAAACACTGACTTCTTAATACAAAATGGCAAGTGAAACAAGAGGCCCAGAGGGCCTGTATTGCTCACCTGAAAAAACAATGACTTCATGTGTGTAATTAACATGAAGTTTCTAAATAACTGATTAATAATTAAAATGGAAAACCAGTCCAACAACATGTGCTTTTATTTCAGGTACATGTATTAGGAATTATAAATAAATAAATTAATAATTAATAATAAAAAAATAATTATAAATTATATAATACATCTTTATATAAGTTCACTATTAACATTACTGTTACATCAACATTGAATCGTTGAAAAGTTTTTTCCATAAACTTCAAAAGGGACCAATGCCAAATTTTAACATTCTAGATTCTAGCTACTCTTTGAGATATGATAATGTACCTGAAGTTCTCCATGACATTATTTATGCAGAAAATAGCCATGAGCTTATGTTCACTGACCTGTCACTTGCCCATTTCATGATAGGTTCCCATTCCTTCTGTTGCAGTTCTGCTAAATCCTGTGGCTCTGTCAGTCTGAAACTATCCGTAAAATACACTTATTGTAAAACCATTCCAGGCCACTATAAAGGAATTAAATATGATAAATATCCATGAATTCAGGGTCAAAAACTGGGTCACTTTCCTTTAAATGTTTAAGGGTCAGAATTGTAATGTGATAGGGATGTATCTAGTGGTCTGGTGTTGTTTTCTGGCAAGCCTTGGCAAAGACTTAAAGGCCAGCATTAATATTAACTCATTCACCCCTGAAGACACATTTGAACTCTTCCAATTCAAAGGTTGGAACAGTTCATTATGAATTTTCAGGGGTGAATGAGTTAATAGGTCCCTCTGGTTTTTTCCTCCAAACCGTGACCCTAAATGACTTAAAATCTAAATGGGCAGTAAACATTAACAAACACAACCCCTAAAAACCATTGTTTATAAGTAGGTAAACCAGTCTGACCCCATAAAATTAAGTCTCTCATGTATATGAGACTGATGACTTTGACCTCTTAGGGGAAATAAGCTGCAGACAATTATCATCATGTGTGAATATGGAACCAAAGAACATGTACACCACTCTATCAGGAATTGATTTTGTCCACATGAACAAACAGACTAAGGTTGATTACAAACTCACCAAATGGTGTCGGTTTCCAAAAAATGCATCAATGATGTTGTCATTTCTTCTTTGGTTTTCCCAATAGGGTTATCAAGTGCTGTATTGGACAAACTATTCTGTCAAAAAGAAAATGACGGCATTAATGAAAACTGTATTCCACACAAACAGCTATGGGTTATGAATAATATTCAACACACCTATCAATCTAAAATATCTTAGAAAAAAATGATTTCAAGATATATGAAACAACACAAGTTGCTTCATAGGCCCCATCTTCAAATGCAAACATTTTGTTCAATATTGTTCCAAAGACAATGAAAAACATGTACAATATGGAAACATAATTTAAACAGGACCAAAAGCAATTTGTATACAAAATGTTTTAATGTAATTATCTATTTCCTTTAATACATAGGTATTTGTATCAAATTTGTTCAATACTTCTTACATTCTCTAAATTGCAAAACAATATCTTGAATTCCTGATATTTCCTATGTACCTTGGTAACAACATTTTGCAACAATATATTCTGCAGACAGGAAATTCATATTTTGATATGTGTAGCAAGGTTACCACGTACTTGATTTATTTTGGTTTGTGCTTATTTGGTTTTGGGTCAACATATATGTGAAGAGAACAAATAATTCTGGACATAATCTTTTATTTTTAAACTGTTATCCCTTCAGAACAAATATTTATAGATATTCTAAACTGAATCCAGCACACTACATCAATTCATCTTAGCCTGCAGCTTTCGATGATCACCATACAATGTCTTACCAGATGCATGTTGTGTCTTTTAATGGTGTCTTGTTGGGCGTTCCATTCCGTGGCCACTGCCATTGCTAAAGTTTCACTGGGAACACGGAACAGATTTCCTGTTGGTGTTCTTAGTTTTCTGTTGTCCAAATTGATTTCAAACCAACCTAGAAAACAAAATATCATATTCAATCTACAATCCAGATAAATTGGTTTAAAATCAGTTTTATAGATAAGGTGTTAGTGTTGGATCAGACCACCAGGTTATTGTGAAGGACACTTTATATATTGTATGTATTTTTATTTGTACAGTAGAACCTCATTATACTGCCAACATCTGTCAAAAGAAACGTTGGCATTATAAAGGGGTTTGATGTTTAATTGAGGGAAACCTATTAAGGAATTCTTAAGAAAACAAAAAAAAGGGACAATGATTTCAGTAGTTAACCAGGTCAAAAATAAAATGAGGGGCATAATATTGAGGTTTTGCTGTATATTTTAAAGTCTCACGTTTAGAGCACTACCCTTTAGGCAGATTTTGAACAAATCTACAAGCCCATAACTCTTTATAAAGTGTGGCATGAGATATGATTTCAGTATGCAACACTTGATGGGGTACTTGCATATTAAATTTGACATTTGTAGGTAAGAGAATATTTGAGATATATGCCTACGCTGAGACAATGTACAACTGATAGATTGATTGACTGAAAAATGCAAACTCAATAGTCCCCTCTGATAGAACATTGTAACAGTGGCCCACTAATAATTAAATAACCATCTTGAACACTGTGGGACTGATAAACCAGATCAATCTTTAGATTAGAGCAAGGTAGTTTTGGTGTACCTACCATTTGACTGGACAACATATGCATTCTTGTAAAATTTCTTCAGTTCTGAAAGTAGAAAAATATATGTGCATGTATACCTACTGGTCTTGAAACAAAAGATATGAAGTTGAACTCCTAGCAACTTTTTTTGATGAAGATAAGAGATTCACTATAAAAGAATAAATTTAATCAACTATTTTTTTATGAATAGTGCTTTTCCTTTAATCCGAACATAATTTATATTGTTAAAAAAGAGGCCCAGAGACCTGCAACTCTCACACAGACCCATATCATGTGTAAGTCATGTATGCTTGTTTGCTGACTGATTGATCTTAACCACTGAACAATGTATGTGACAAGTAAGTTTTATGTCGGCAAAGTTTGTTTCTTTTTATTTCAACATAGCTGCTGATATGCTTTCAGCAACAAAATGTCAAATTTAAACTTGAAATTCATACTTTCAACATACCGGTATGGGATCACAGTGAGCTTGAAACTAGGTCAAGGTCATTTATATGAGGTACCTTTACAGCACTTCATCCCAGGTACCTACTAACCACGTGCTGTGGCTCTAGAGTCTATATTGTTCTTATTCTTTGAAGTTCATGAAATATTTGACCACTGTGACCTTGGAAGAAGATCAATGTCTTCTATATATGTAAGGAACCTTCATAGCACTTCATCTTTTATACCTACAACCCTTTGCCTTGACGAACTTAAGCAGATTCGTTATAGCCCAATATGTTGACCTTTGACCCTGCCAACACTTAAATTTGACCTTTGGCCTCAACACAATATATTAGAAGAAGATTTGTAATGTGGGACTATATAACATACACAAGTATCAAGGCTATAGACCTAATGGTTCTATATTTTATTTTGTTTGAAGTTTCCAGCATATAATCAAGGTCATATGCATGTATAAGGAAGCTAAAAATACTGCATGCCAGGTAACTACTGGCACAAGATCAGGACCCTGGGTCTTTCGGGTTTCAAGAAAAAGCCTCAAAAGAACAAAGTTGGTTGACGGATTGAGAACAGATGCTTCACAGTGCCATGAGCTTACTGGCACTTTGTGCCAGGTATGCTAAATATATTTGCAGCTATACCAAATCGTATTCTTGAGGATGATACATTGGGTTTTCATTTTAACATGCACTGCTACCCTTTCTATATCTGAATATATATAATATATACGGGTATTGTGTATATTATAGGATATGTAATTTTTATACTGCATAGCTGTCATCCCCCCACCCCCATTAGGAGGGAGACTCCCTCATTTTGATCAAAATTTACCAATCTCCCTCGAAACTCCCTCATTCAAGTCCACACTCACACAAACTCAAAATTACATCCTGTACTCAAATAATCTCCTAGTTACTGCAGGGTGTATGTAATGATCATAACAGGTGTGTCTGAATCAAATGAATGTTATTTGGGAGTTATTTCGATACATAAAAAGGGAAATATAAATTTAGCAAAGCAGTTTCAATCGCATTTCACACACTTTCTCCCTCATTGGAAATGTGGAATGAGGGATACCTCCCTCGTTGGAGGTTTCAGGGGTTGACACCTACTTGTGTTACACAAATCCCTCCCTCTCTATCTCCAGGACCTGTTTGGCAATCCAATACACAGCTCTTCCAATGCTTGTACTATACCATGACAGTTACATCATTGTTTTGTCAAATACGGTTAACAGTAGTACTTTTTGAAACATTTGAAGATTTCGCAAGATGGTTTCTCCCCTATGAAATAATCTAAAGGTTGGTTTTTAAAATACCATATAACGTTAAGTATTGCCAATTTTTATATTAATGGAAATGGACGATTTTGGTCATGACTGTTTTTACCAGGATGTGTCTATGTGCAGCTTTCTTTCTCTGCTGTATTTCCCATGTCTTGTGAAAGCAGTTGCTTTAAATCTTTGACCAATCCTATGGTTTATTAGTAAATATGGTTTATTAGTATAAGGGGGTGCGCAATCTAGTATATATGTGATATATTATCGCACCCACTAGATATTGCACCCCCTTATACTAATAAATCATAATAGTATAATATGATTTATTAGTATAAGGGGGTGCGCTATCTAGTGGATGCGATAATACAAATGTATATCACATATCCTCGGGTTACCGGTTTAGCGCACTTAAGAAGCATCCACGATTTCATACTCATATCGGCAGAAATCTGTTGAAATTACGAAGGACTGTCATATTTAGTGTTTAAAGAAAGATAACTGGAATACACTAAAAAGAAATTCTCTACAGTGACCTGCAAGAACAAAAACTTCATTTGGAATAAAAAAAAAAATCTTAAATTAATTATCAAAACATATTTATTAAATTTTACATTTTGATAATTTTTTCAAGATGTCAAATTGAACGAATTCATGTAATTTTATAAATTTATTTATTATATCTATTTAGTTATATACTATAGAATCTGTTAATATCTTTTTCTGCAGTCTTATATCGGTTTTGGTTGATGGTAAGTTATTTCTCATTTTGTTCTGTTTAAAATTGGTGAAAATTGGAAGTTCATTGCATTACAAGATTTACGTTTCATTGAAAACACTGTTTATCGATATAAGAATGTCTCCTTGTGACCAAGGAAGTGGAAAAAAATCGACAAGGAGACGTGGCCTCATTTACATACGACATTTTCGTACGTTTGTCAGACTACATAAAAGACTGTTTCATGAATGAAATATATCACCGTTTTTCAGGTATGGGTTCATTTTGACCAAGATAAAAAGTGCATTAAGCAAAACTGCATATTTATGCGTGTTTTTTAATCAGTGATTACTTATGTTTTCCGGACGAACTTCCGGTATTTTTGTGTCAGTTTACAGACGATGGCCAAATGTCTAAAATATCCTTGTGTTGTGTCCAGCAGGTCACGTAGTTACGAGACCTGCTTGATAAAATGGCTGCGCGGAAATACATAACGCGCGGAAACTGATGACTAGACGATATATTCCAGAACCCATGCAATAACCATAGAGTAAGCGTTGTATTATTAAAATGACTAAATGCAACTCATACCACGTGACGGGGAAGCTGTTTGGCGAATCTGACTGAAAGTCAATCCTTCCGTCTTCCTTTCTCTGATAATTCGTGAAATACATGGTTTTCCTTCAGCAAGTAACCATCTGCCAAATAAACGCATGGGCGCCGCCATCTTGAATGATAAAAAGTTGTAACCTATGTTTTGATTGGTCAGATGTGGAATGTCGTCGAATTTGGCGAATCGGCGATGATTTAACAAAATAATACACTTCCGGTTTAAATCAAACACAGCATCGACAGGTAACCATGCCTGTGAAGTTAGATCCACCTCCTCCTGCAAATTCCAAACAACTTGGAGTAACCACAACTTTATTATACAATGGATCAAGGTTTCAGGGACACCAGAAAAGCAAAGGAAATTGTTACGATGTGGAAGTTGTTTTACAGGTAACAAGTTTGAGTGACTCGCCATGGCCGTTTATCGCGATCCAAACGGTTGAACCGGTTAGACCAGAGTTTTTCGTTTATTAAATAAGGTCGGACCCAGTAATATGATGCTGCTTTCAGGCGAACCTTGCAAGGCCTGCATAAACTTTTTCAGGTCCGCCAGGATTTATACCCGAAAATGTTATATTTTAAAACGGTTGTTCCGCATAAACGAACAGGCCGCCCATGTCTATCTTGTCACTTTGCACTCGTGACACATTTCACTTCTCTCGGTTACCTATTATTTTAACTTCGGCTTTTGTAAAGCACGAAGGTCGATTTTCAGTCATCTCAAATCCAAACACAGTACTGTGGCCATGGAAGGACTGTTTATTCATTAAAGTTATTAGGTTTTTAACACAATAATAGTTTTAATGTGAATCGACCTTTGCGTCACTGTAGTTAGTTTGACAAGTAACATGTCTCACTGTATTACTACACAAGTCATATGTAAACCATAACCTTTTTTTGTTAATATAATGTGACGCAGACCAGAGACGTAGAACAGTATTTAGTACATTAGCTATTTAGTACTACGGTAAACCTTCTGTCAGTTCAAATAGATCCAATTTCGCATCGACAGCGTTTAGCTACCGCATAACGGGTAGTACTTCAGAAAGAGTGACCATTGATGTCATCGATGTCAGACGATTTGTACATAAATATGCCTGATGTTGCAGGTGATTGAGTTTCTTTCTGGTATAAAACATGTCACATATTGTGCACACGCCAGTCAAAAATATTTAGGCCCAGACCATGTGAAATATACTAACAGTACAGGGAGCGCGGAATGTTACCGTCACATCGTGTGTATTGTCATGATATTACTGTGATAACAATAAGATTATATAATTGCGACCAGGCCACCGATACCTGATTTATTACTTAATTTATATGTGCCAAAACAGAAATATTTGACCAATTGGTCAATCAAACTATTAATGCGTAATTACAGTTTCAATCCAGCCTCTGCATTCTGATACATTACAATCGAACTTCTGTCAATACTCCCGTCATCACTGCTTTGTGACTAGCCCGTGTTTCCTCTGGCCCTGACACTAGACTTAGACATTTTGACAGATAGATGTCTGGTGTGGGACAAGAGCGCACTCCTATATGAAAACGTAAAGTGAATAATCAACAAAAAGACGCCGTCCGGAAATCTTCTAAACAAGAATAATATATTCCGTTTTTTGTCCAGATCAGTATGGTTTGTTGATTAGTCACCCCAAGACCTACAAAAATGGCATTTGCTCAGGTGGGAAATTTTAAACAATTGAATATCAAGGACTCTACTGACAGAATTTAGCAGCTGTTGGTGAAAAATAGAGCTAATTTGGATAAATTAATAATCCATTTATCGATATATGTGTTGTGTCATAGTAGATGTTTGTTGTCACCACCTCATAACTCTCTGATACCAAATGGTGTTGGAGAATTCCACGTTTTCATTTAAGAGTGGGCTCTGGCCCCACACCAGACATCTATCTGTCAAAATGGTGTCAGGGCCAGAGGAAACTCGGGCTACTTTGCGGCCTACATACTTGTTTGTCTCTGCTTTGCGATTGGACTTGACAATAAATTATTAATATGTAAATAAGGAAAAGAAAGATATATGTACCATTATATTCATCTCCAGATTTGCAAATATATCGTAATAGGTCGTCACTGTTCCGTATCAGCGACTTGACTGTTTGCCATGATTTTAGCTGATCTCGATGTCGTATAGTTCGAGCTACTCTTTACTTTAGCGGCTATAATTTTGTGTTATTCGAACAGGTTTGACAATATTTATTAATTTTTGTTCTATCTGACCGGAGGTTTACCTTATATAGTATTTTAATTGCACAAAATGTTACTGTCGCCTTCTAGTTTTGTGCTAGAGGAAATTTCTCTTTAGCTCAATTGGTAGAGCAGTGGATAAGGAAACTGAGGGTCACTGGTTCCATCCCTGGTGGAAGTACATTACTGTCTTTCCAGTTACAAATGGTGTCTATGGCTCTCCCTGTGGGGACAGGGAGTTAGAACCTGGGTTGGTGTGGTATTCGAGTGAACACATTTAAAAATGGGGGAGGATTGTGACAGATGTTAATTGTAGGTAAGACTACAGTCCTAGCTTCCCGCTAGAGGGATCAAGTTCACTTTAGCTCAATCAGTAGAGAGGCTGGCTGGGAAGTTCGGGGTCACTGGTTCGATCCCTGGTAGAAACGCACTACTTTTTTCCTGTCAGTTTATATTTCATGACACAGGCTAAAAAGAGAGAAGCTGTTGATCGTATTTCTTTTTTTAAGTTCTTATACATGTTTTTTTAAACTAATTAATTGGTAATGAATTTATATTGGCACCTAGCTAACTTTTTTCAAATGTTTTTACTAAGAGTCAAATCCAGACTGCAGATTATACCCTCTGGCTTAATCAGTTACAAGCAGCCTAGGAGTATGACATATTAACACTGCATGTCAAGACATTAATTGTCATAATGTCTTCTGAAATACAACCATGTTTTTGGGAGCATGGTTTTAGAGATTATTGTACACAGTGCAGGTCGTTGCGTGAGCACAAATATCATATACAGGTCACCTTCCCGAGGGCATCATCTAGGAGTCAAGCTTTGGGTTGCAGATCTAGATTATAGGCCGGTACATGAAGTAGTTTTTCTCAGAGCCAATATCTGCAAAAGATACAATAGTACATGTAAATGCTCAGCTGATTGAACTTACGAGTCCCCACCAGCCAACTCTGTTTGATCAATTATTTTGTATTTACACTGGTCAGACCCTTAAGATTAAACAAAAAGCTTAGGTTGAGTCATGGTTGCCCTGCTGAGATGCACACTGAAGCTTTCTTTTGAGGCATTTCCTGTGACCAGTACGAGTTTGACCATTTAGACCAGGGTCACCTTAGGTTATGATTGAATCTGCATGTACTAATTGTTGTATTCTTCTCTCTCGTCTAACAGCATGTGGACATGGAAAGTTCCTACTTGTGTGGTTATTTGAAGATTAAAGGACTAACAGAAGAGTATCCGACTTTGACAACATTTTTCGATGGGGAAATAATCAGCAGAAAACATCCATTCCTTACAAGGAAATGGGATGCTGATGAAGATGTTGACAGAAAACATTGGGTAGGTATCACAGGTACCAGGTATACATGTATTCAGCTGCACAACACAGCAACGTGATAAAATCTGTCCGACATTGAGTTGGCATTTTACGTAGCGGTAGAGCACAGTCATTAGAAATGTGTCAAACCAAGGAAGAAATTCATCATGAAATAAATATTGTTCACACTGTGAAATGAAAGTAGAGATTTCCCTAGTTAAATATTCATGATTTTGCTCCTTTCAAACTATTCTTATGATGTGTCCTACCTTAACTTTTTCTTACTTACAAAAGGTATGTAATAAATTATGATTTCCAATTAACCAAATGCTACTTATAAATAGTATGAAGTTATGATTTCTCAGTGTCTGAACTTGTTTTCATTTGTGTCTGAATCTTCTAATAGCAACGTTAAAACTGTAACAAGCTCTTAGTACTCTAATTCTTTTTTAATTATATTTTTCAGGGGAAATTTTTATCTTTCTACCAGTTTGCAAAGACTTTTAATTCTGATACGTTTGATTATGAAGATTTAAAAACAACAGATTATGTGTTCATGAGATGGAAGGTAAGTCTATATCCAGTAAAAAAAAATGATCAGCCTTCAGTTTTACCTTTTTTAAGCAATTTCGAACTAACCTCACTAAAGCAAATTTCAATATAGGAAATGGTTACACACATAAGGGCTTATACTTCACAATCAAAATTATTATGTACCGGAAATTTTTAATGTGATTGGTTTTCATTATAGACCTATATGGAGTTTTGGAGTGCTGATTTAGTGCTAAATGTATTGGAAATATTTTACCAATTTTCGAAATGCTTGTATCATTTTATTTCTCTGCTTTAATCATCTGAGAATCACCTGAGAAAGACTATATTTTTTTGTTTCTAACGTGTCCTTAAAATTGTGTGTAATTCAAACTTTTTTGTTGATATTTTTCTTGATCAATGCCTTCGTGTTATTCATTTGGTTGAAGAATGTGAATTACCTGGTATGGTATTGAAGTGAATCCCCAGTTTTACATTTAAATATTCATATTTTGATGATTAATTTGTTTACTTTCTGTTTTGACAGGAGCACTTTTTGGTGCCAGACCACACCATTAAAGACATAAACGGAGCATCTTTTGCTGGATTTTATTATATCTGTTTTCAAAAGTCCACATCGACGATAGAAGGTTACTACTATCATAGGAGTTCAGAATGGTAATTTGACTATAAAGAATATTGCTTTCCTTACCATTAAATTCCTATTTATTTGCTGTTGGTTTAACCCCTACTAAGACCCCAACATCCCCTCCTCCTCCTAAGACCCCAACATCCCCTCCTCCTCCTAAGACCCCAACATCCCCTCCCCCCTTCTAAGACCCCAACATCCCCTCCTCCTCCTAAGACCCCAACATCCCCTCCCCCCTTCTAAGACCCCAACATCCCCTCCTCCTCCTAAGACCCCAACATCCCCTCCCCCCTTCTAAGACCCCAACATCCCCNATACCCCTCCCAATTCATATCTGGAATAACCTAAACAATGTTTCTATATGAATTACATATTCTGACTTTTGAAATGCTATAGATAATATTGTTAAGTACCTGTCCACAAGTTTTCATTTTTAAATGCATTTAATTTGTGGCATTATTTAAGAATATTTTACATGTTCAGGGAAATTTTATCTCAGTTCAGTCTAAATGAAAAGTGTATAAATAAGTAGAGACAATTTTAACTTGGGTGAACTACATATTAATGATAGTGAATATATATCTCTTTTTACAGGTTCCAATCACTAAACCTTATCCATGTGCCAGAACACAGTATACCTGTGTACCAGTTCAGATGACGACATGCGACCTCCAACTCACTGTGATAACTATTTATTATATATAAAATATATATCAAGAGTATATGCTGTCATGACATGTACCTTAACTTATCGATTAGTTTTGCCTTGATAAGTAGCAAAATACTGCAAGTAAAAAGTAATCAATAATTACCAGCTTTTGATAAGGAAAGTACTTGGCACTTGTTGAAGCTGCTAACGGAGGAGAATTGAAGTACGCCTCACTGAGCAGGACTCGCCTCGCTGAGCAGGACTCGCCTCACTGAGCAGGACTCGATGGACTAAAAAGTGTTAAATTGGTGCTCTGAATAATTAAACAGGGTCTCCCAGTGGAAAGACCTTTTGTTTTGTGGGACAAGTAGCATGATTGGACAGGATGGCTAGCATGTGTGCAGTTATTAACTTAATTAATATGGTGTTTCATTTTGCCTTCATACATGTGTATACACATCCAATGGTTCACACGATATTGTTAATGTTGTCAAACTTTGTGCGTATGGATTAATTCAACAACATGAAAAGACATCAAACACCATGCAAGCCAACAAGAGGAATTGAACAGGATGTGAAGTACAATGTGTTAAATTATATCTGTCTGATTGTAAATCAAATGATATGTACAATGTGTTTTCTGTTTTAACATTATAACTGCAGCTTCTGCTTTCAGTTACATATAATTTTAGTCAGTGATGTTATGTCATATCATTTTATATAAGTCTTGTGAACAGCATTCCCTGCAAGGCATGCATGCCTTTCTGTAACGGCCCCCGCCCCGGTTCCTTTGATCCCCTGATCAGTTGTTCTGAAGTGATGTCCCCTCGCTGGTCAGGAGAAGGGAGCTGATACAGTATTTTTGGCTGGCATGCGTACATTTTGTATGATACACCGTGTGCAGGCAGATTAGTATTGCATATTCTACCATACTCTGTGTCTGTTCAATAACAATGGCTTTAATTTTGAAATCTGTAAATTGCAACATAATATGTTTCTGTTTTATAAAAAGATACAATTTTCCTCAAGTTCTTTGGTCTTGTTTTTGTTGAGTGTTATTTTTAGCATTGTTTTCATGGAAAGGTCCACCTAGGTGGCACATATTTTGTGTCTTCTTTGTATTAACTCATTCACCCCTGAAATTTCATAATGGACTCTTCCAACCTTTGAATTAGAAGAGTTCAAATGTGCATTCAGGAGTAAATGGAGTTAATGCACAAAGATTTGGTAATTGAAGCTAACATAGCCAATTTTCCCAATGCCTTTTTAAGCCCCTATCATTATATGGTGGGTTACACTATAGTGTTACCCATGACTCGTGTCAATCCCATGCTGTCCCCTCCAATCGCAATTTATTATCCTGCCTGAACATCTTTACAGATTTTCAACAAAGTTTATACAAAAGTGAGTATGAGAATACCCAAGATGAGTTTATATTGCAAGGTCCCAAGGTCTTTTGCTATTCAAACTTACAGGTCAACCACAGGGGCAAAGAGGGCATTCATGTCTTGTAGACATTTTCTTGTGTATAGTATACCATGTACTTGGTATATGGAATGAAGTGTAAATGTTATGTGGGTATTAAGGTACCTGTTCCATAATGTAAATATGACTTCAGGTTACTGCTCATTAAAACAACCTAAATATGTCTATTTCCCTAAATTATTATTATTATTACATGCTTAACGGCACAAGAGAGGTCATTAGGTAGCAGTGTACAGTTGGTATGGTGGCCATGGTTGATATTTTTGTACAATGAATAACCCATGTAATATCTATGTATCAAAGTTTTTAAAAAAATCAACACTAAAATTGGCATATACATGACGAAGTGGACTATGTGGGCTTCACATTTAAAGAAGAAAAAAAATGAATTTGGTTTGAGACTACATTTTTGGCCACTTACAAATCTGTGTTGACACAACAAAAGATAGCTATTCATGTAGTCTATTTTTGTACTCGGCACATGTGTAAATATTGTGAAAAATCCAGTTTAACGACCTATGCTAAAACGTGAGTATTTCTGTTACCGAGTAGGTGATATTCAATTTAAGACGGGTTTTAAGAAAAAAAATACTACTTGCGTGGGTCAAAAATCATTTTTTTTGCATTTTTTTGGCGTTTTTTGATGTGGTAACCATGGTTTTCACAAGTCCCAAATCTGGGGAAATCACTTTTTGAAAACAAATTTCTTCTTCTAAAATAATATATATATATGTATGTAGGTGTGTTGTGCAGGATAAATCCGCTATCCATGTTTATCTGAGACATGTCCTTTATTTTTAGGACCAAACCATGTATTTCTACTGTACTCTGCTACCTTAGGGCCAACACATGGTCCTATTTCTCTAAGCCTCTTGCCTACTTTTGCCAATGTGTTACCATATGTAGGTTTTACTAAGCAGCTGAAGGTGGTTTTATCTCTCTGTAGGGTGATGACCTTTTGCTTACCTGCTGCAAGGTTTTGAATGTGAACTACTGCAATTGTGCAGCTCCATCCTCAATCTGACAGGCATCATTTGAATAACAAAGACTTGTAGGATCATTGTAGTTTACCTTTAAAATGCTGAGGCCAAAGGCAGATAAGAATGCTCAAATAATTGACATTGACCCCACTCTCAAGGTCAAGGGGTCAAATAGGTCATAACCTTTAAACAACATCTTCACAATAACCAAAACATCTTAGGTAATGATATTTGACAAGTAACATTCTTGGATGAATGGCTTTCGTATTTAAATGAATTACTTTGTCCTACTCCCAAGATCAAAAGGAGTCCAATATCTTAAAATATTTAAATCACTTCTTCTGAAAGGTCATGGTATCTGGCCAGTAGCATAAAGGATTGTTTAAAAGAATTGCCTTGACCCACTTTCAATATCACAAGTTGAAATCTATACAATATCTTCTGAATAACCAAAAGGCTGTAGGCAATGATTTTTGGCCAGTAGCATGAAGGACTATCAAGTTTGTTTAAATGAATGACCTTGACCCACTTTCAATGTTGCAGAGATCAAATGGTTTAATTATAACACCTTTAAAGAACTTCTGAGTAACCCAAGATGATGAAATCAATTTTACAACAATTATGAAATAAGTCTTATCAAATGTAATTGAATATTTAAACAACTTCTATATACCACTACTTCCACTGCCACATCAATGACCTTCCACTAGCAGTGAAATTCACCGTCAGGTTATTTGCAGACGACTGTCTCCTTTATAGGACCATAAGAACTGTCCAGGATCACTTAGACTTTCAAGAAGATTTAAAATCATTGGAACGATGGGCATCAGCGTGGGACATGTCCTTTAACACCAGCAAATTTTACATCATGAGGATCCATCGCTCAAAATCTCCATCAGCCTTTCGCTACACTCTCGGCGATACCATGCTAGAAGAGGTAACTGACAACCCATACCTCGGTATCATCTTCAGCAACACCATGAAATGGTCATCACAAATCACCAAACTTTCCAACCGTGCCAACTCCACACTGGGATTCTTTCGGAGAAATCTGAAGAAATGTCCGAAGGGTCTGAAATTGTGTGCTTTCAAGTCCCTAATTCGATCTGTATTGGAGTATAGTTCCACCATCTGAGCCCCTTCCACGGACAAGGACATATATACCATAGAGAAAGTGCAAAGGCGTTCAGCAAGATTCTTTCTTTTAGATTACCGAAGAGAAAGCAGTGTAACATCCATGCTAAACAGACTAGAACTCGAACCACTGAAAGACAGACGTCGTGACCACAGACTAGTACTGTTGTTTATAATCATCACTGGGCTAGTAGCCATACCCGCTGACGTCTACATCACAGTCAACCGTACCAACACACGACGAAACAACAGTCAGAAACTACAACAGATATCGTGCAACACTGAAAACAACAGACAATCCTTCTACCCACGTACACTAACCGATGGGAACGCTCTGAAAGAATCCTCCATCAGCGCAACTACGGTCGACCAGTTCCGTATTAGCCTCAAAAACTAACTTTTACTCCACTCCTCCTCCCCGGATGTGATATTCAATTTATGAATTTTATCCGGAACCTTACAGATACAGATATAGTCTAGAAGCGTAGGGTCAGGATATTTTTGTAAATTTTATCATTCCAAGGTGTAGGATTATTAACTTTTTTTTCTTCATAAAATGACCTCAACCAACTGTCGTGGTCACCAGTCAAATGTGTTCAAATCTTCGAAATCATATCTTCAAAATAACCCAATGATCTAGGGTCGTGAAACGTTTTCTGTAACATGCTGCGGTGAGTGATTATCAACATCCTAGAAATTCTTGGGCTCTTGAACATGGATAGCTGTTTTGTTTTAGGTTGGGGAAAACTGACAAATCGCTAGGCTGATGCATGTCCTTTGTAGATAACATAGACGTAACATCCGACTTTAAGCGGGTCAATTTCACCAATACACTGCCGTGCAATTTCTTTGAGAGAGGCTAAAGTCCTTTACTAGTCTTCTTGTATCATCCAAAAGGTGGCGCACACAGAGCCATAGATTTTGTCATGACTCATTCAATGGTTTGAGAGAGCGTGACCTCTGAAATTTGAGGCTGGACTATCAACTGCGCTCTAATAAATGACCCTGACTCGCTTTCAAGGCTGCAATTGTCAAATGTGTTAAAATCTTGAAATGGCTTCATCTTAAGATCTATAAAGCTTAGAATAGTCGTTGAAAATGTCGAATGTGTGAAAATATTGAAACAGCGTCTTCTAAAATTTACATATAAGGACCGCAGTAATTCTACAAACGGCCCAATTGCAGGATCGTAAGAGGCGACTAAATTTGGGACCTTATCTCTTCTCTCCTTTCTAAATAACTTTCTTTTTCCTAATGTCTCCCTTTACAATGCCTCACTTTTGGCCATTTGATGAGCGTTCGCCCCTGTGAGGAAGGCTTTGGGTTCTGTCCACTGGCGGAGACATACCAAAGTCTTTAAAAATGTTAGTTTATACTCCTGCTTAACGCTCAGCAAAATAGGAGTGGGACGACTGATTCGCCCGTTGTCAGTATAATGTGACCGGGTGGGGCGTCCTGCTGGGTGTCTTCGGCAGTATGTTTCAGTGAGGTAGCACTATAAAGTCGGCATCAGTTCCGCGCTATTACAAGNATCAAACAAACAAACAAATCTACAAACGGTTAATGCTTTGAAAACAATGTGTTTTTCCTTAATATCTGAATTTGTGTTTTGAAACGGTTAATGGAACTCTTCCGTAAAAATACCCAGATATATACCCAGTGTTGATATCGCACCCGTGATTTGAACCTTTACCTCTACCAACACAAGTCGTCGCATGAATGTCCCTTTACATTTAAATCTCTGATATTAAGTTATGTCACACCACGGACTTAGATAACCTAATTCCGTGGTCACACCATGTCAAGCTGAACTAGTATGTACATAAATGTATCATTATTTATAGAAAATAGATAGCAAATATCTATACATATTATCACGGACTAAGCTAATTTAATTCCGTGATATTATGTAAGAAAATACAGTATTTGAGTATCAAACAAGGTCACTCCTGCGCGTAGTGAACTTTTTTTCTTGCGAAATTTGGATAAAACCCCATAACTTTGTTAATAGTTTCAGTAAATTTATTGAATGGTGAACAGTTACATTTGATAAAGCTTCTATCATGGTACTTTTAATAGTTCTGAATGGCATGGGTCTAATTTTACAGCTGTTATATGTGACTAAACAGAAATCGCATTAATGAACTTTGGGCGGGAAACGATTTCATGTTTGTTATTGCGGGAAAATTTACCCATAGCAACGTCTCTATGACGTTACGCTAAGTAAAAAAACATACTGCATTTTGGAGGAAATTGTTTCAGCTACTTACGCTATGTCGAGTTGCTGTGAGAAGAACCCGGGATTCGCTGATATAAGGTTGTGAAATATCTCAGACAAGTCGTTCTAGAGGATTCAGCATGGATAACAGGAGTCAAAACGAGGCAAACGACCAACACTCTACATTCACCGGTACATTCACCAATACTTT